TATAATCCTAGCTTTGCGCAATTCTATCACGATTTGTTGTGGCTCTACAACCTCATCTTTTTGACTATATTGAGTTGTTGGGGGTGTTCATCGAATGATGATGTTCATCGAACGCACGGGCATTGTAGGTTCTGCAATTAAGCTATAGGCCGCTAATCGATCTCCTGCCGCTTCGCGCTCCTTAGCTACCGCCTCGTCTCTCGCGCAAGCGTTAACAGCCCCTTAACGCTTCTCTCTACTAGCAGCTTAGTTAGCTTCGCTGCCCGCCGCAGCTTCTCCTCGCCTTAATCAGGCAGCCAGGTCTAATGCGCAAGATGTATTAGATTGCAGTTAGCAAAGTGCTCTAGCTAGCCTGTCCGCTTAAACTAGCTAGTTTTATCTGTCTTTGCGACGTTAGCGTCTATAACCTGCGCTTTCTCTTTGTGTACATATTTTGTTAGCTTCTATCCTACTAACCGCCTCTTAATAACGTCTGTTGTCTCGTGCAGGTTAGACAGTGCGCGACTGTTGTCTGCTACCTTAACAACAAAGTATCGCTAGAGCCTGCTAGTTTAGAAAAACGTTTGCGCCTTAACCTTCTCGCAGAGTGCAACGTCTTTACTACTCTAAGCTGTCTAGTGTGCGTTGTTGTAGTGCTTCTATATTCTAATCTTGTTTGCAGTACAGAAGCTGCAGTCGCTAGTAATCCTGCATTAATAGACGTCTAACAGCTCGCCTAGCTGCTTAATTAGCGGCCCTAACAGCGCAGGCAGCTTAACATCTTGCGGTGCAGCAATCTGCTATTGCTAGCAGTGCTCTACGACGGATTTCCTCTCTTCGCTTGCTACGCTGTGCTAGTCGCGCAGGTGCACATTAACGTTCTATATGCCTATAGCGTGCTCCTTGCAGACTAGCACCTAATAGCGCTAGAGATAGCAGAAGCGCTCTTGCACGTTGTTAATTGTTATCTTGCATGCACGCGGTCGCTTGCGGTGCTGCGTTGCAGTTAATGTTGCAGGTAGCTGTGCGTTCTAGCAGAACTCTATGCTTAGCAAGTTAACCCTAAGATAACTCTAAGATAACCCTAAGTACTTCCTATAGTAGGCCCGATTTTATCGCGTAACCCTAACGCTATGCCTATTTTAACGATAATTGGGGGTTAAAAGACACGATGTTCGCCCCCTATAGCAGGCCCGATTCGATCGTGCAACCCTAACGCTACACCCGTTTCGACGATGATCGGGCCCTAACATCCGCGTCCTATAGGTTAGGTAATGGTTGCCATCTCTTCTAGTTTCTATTAATGATTCGTATTTGGGAGGACGTACCGTCGCCTCACCAGGCAAGCAACCGCCCCTAACACCACCCACTCATTCCGCAGTAGCACACTCACGCAATACGTGAGTTCAACTGTTCGCGACGATGCCTAGACACGCCGCCTACGATTATCACAGTTGCATCAATCACGCATCACATTGTATTGCGCACACAAAATGACAGCCTACACAGCTTCGCATTCGGCCTAAATTGACCACGAAAAAGAACAAACAACGCTTGGATCTGCTTATTGTCTATAAGTTGGGTCTAGAACTGAACGATATCTCTCCCTATCGCATCTAGTACTCGAGAAGAGGCAAGACCAGATGACTGTCATGCTCACCCCCCACATGAATTACATGTCTGCCTTTGTTGGCCGTGGTAAAACTTCCTCGCAAAGCCTCGAACTCAGGCAATCGCATATCATGCCCACTCACACGAAGCACCAACTTTTCGCCAGCTCCAAACTGAATTCCAGCAGCCCATATCCCAATCTCTAGCTTGACTACCTGTCCAGGAGAGATCTTCTCTTCACTCGTGTGCTTGTGATGCGGAAAGTTGTGCTTCGAGATGCTGGCGTCGATCTCTCGATGGCTAGCACGCAAGATTCCCGATGGTCCGACGTACTGTAGAGAGTTGAGAGTAGGCAGATCATGGGGGTCCACGATATCATCAATACCATCCCCTCCTACGGCTTTGAGCTCGGCAAATGGTATGTTGCAGTTGCGAAGAATGCGGCCATCCTTGTCGATCTTGCGCAGTATAACGAATACGTCAAGCTCATCATGATCTTGGCAGGACATGTAAAGCACAGCCTTTGAGCTTCCGATCAATCTCGTTTGCTTGGGAAAGGTGTAGGTGAAGCTTAATTCCTCGGGATCAGCATCAAAGTTTTCTGCCTTGGCATCGGATGCATAGGAAGATTGTCCGCCTTTAACATGTTCACACGAGGACTGGAGGGTGCCGTCTGTCGAGAGATGCAGGTTGATGTCTTTAGCCTCAGGTACAGGCCACGCAGTGAAAGGTAAGTCATCGACGTTTCCCTGTACAATGTCAGATCGGCTTCGGTGAGACTTGCTGTTGCTTGAAGATCCTACCTTGTTATAGCTTATGACTGAAATTCGTGCTCGGGAAGTTTGCTCCCACTTATTGTCTTGTCCCTTCATGTAGAAATCGAGGAATTTCTTGAAGTCGGCGATGGAATGCTTCTGGTAAAGATCATGCCACTCTTGCGTAGAATGTAGTCGTAGCCATTTCTTGTCGTGCCGAATATCCTCGAACCCTCGGAGCGACCCAACTGTGTGTAGTCCAGTCGACATGCTAGCCAGAACGTAGGTAGGGCATTGAATGGAGCTAATATCGGCACGCTTGTCCTGCCAGTACTCATTAATGGCAGGATATTTCTGCAACATAGTAATGACATCTTCACGCTGTTGGTTTCCTGTCGTTTGTTCAACATCATGAGTGAGATACAAGTTCTGTGAACTGCATACCGTAGAGAAAAGGATTGACGAAACCAAAGAATTGATAAGATGGAACACCGCCTCGACACAAGACTTCTCGATAGAGGTCACTGGAACCCTCAAGAGGCAATATGCATGTGAGGTGAGGTGGTCGCTCAGCTGCAATGAACCACTGCGTCATGGCGAGCCAGGAGTTACCAGCTAATGCGACTTTGCCAGTACACCACGAGAGTTGAGATACGTGCTCAACAACATCGTGGCCATCTCGACCTTCCGCTGTCCCTAGGAACCTAGAGTTTCCCTGAGATCCTGGTTCATACTTAGCGAGTGTATAAATTTCCAGGCAATCAACATTATACGGACCAAAAACGCCCCTTGCGTCGACGTTGACTACTGCGTAGCCGTGTGTTACCCACTCGGCAGGATCGAAGGCTTCGAAGCTTTGGAAGCCGGACACTGCGCTACGCGGTATTCCAGATCGGCCTGGGATAAGGTTGAGGTCGAAGAGTCCTTGTCGAATTTAAGCTCAAAACCGTAATATGGGTGTATCACAGGGCTTGCAGAAGTAAAGCGAAAGTCGTGACCTTAGAAGTATGGGGCGATGGTTCACTAACCTGAGCCGGATTTTCCATACGGTGAATAATGCACGATGGCGGGCACCGTAGATGTGTTGGCAGGGCGGAATACATCTGCACGTATTACGACTCCGTCGCGCAAAGGAATCGGTATGTCTTGTTCGAAAACAGCTTCTATGTCCCAGGCCCTGTAGTCGGGCTCTTTTTTGTAGCCAACGGGAATCACAGTGGTACGTTGATTAAGGCCCCCGTACCTTGCTCCAGGCTCGTTTGGCGGAGTCGCGTCGGTCTGTAGCACAGGGATTCTTCCGATACAAAACTCGCTTGAGTTCATTGCGACAATTTGAATGGAAAAGAAGAATTGGTTGTGTATGGATGGTCAAGCTGCTAGTGAAGATGACCCATGAGGCAGCAACAGTGTCAAGACGATATATACCTATACTAAGCGGGTCGCTCGCCGAGCGTTCCGCCATTTGTGGATAACAATGCTTTTGCTTCGTTCAATTGTTTCTAGCTCAAAACACCCGGGAGTGATGGGCGCCCTCGATGATGTGGCAGGAACGACTCAAACTCAACCTTGGAACTGTGGGGAAAGTTGCTGATGGCCCCACAGAGATGATTATGATAGTCACAATAAATCACAAGCCTTCTCCGCTGTAGAAGAGGGGCCGTATCTCAGGGTTAAACGCATCAATTCGCAAACAATGACTTGTGGGCAGGATGTGGGATCGAGATGGCGCCACTCGTGGTGGGCTCTACCTATTGTTGACGATTGAGGGGCATTCGGCCCTATTTATCTGGAAAGGCAGAATGTGGGACAGAATCGGCACTCGTTGTGACCGACCGCCGTTTTGACGTTCCATTGGACCGTGAGTGGGGTAGTGTGAGATCCCACATGCTTACCATATCAAGTTAGTACAGTTAGCAACAAGATTCACCCGTGCTGTAAAGTCCTTGTGTAGCCATTAGTCAATCTATCCTGCCGCTTTATCTTCATACGCGTCCCAGCTTTCGTTGTTATCCAACAATCTTACGAGGACTAAATGGCAAATCCCCAGCAGTATCCAGTTGTCATCATAGGGGGAGGCCCTGTAGGCCTTTCCTCCTCAATCCTGTTATCCCTTCGCAACATTCCACACGCGCTTTTCGAGCGTCACCTTAGCACTTCGATCCACCCAAAAGCATGCGGCCTAAACCAACGAACCGGCGAAATATTCCGTCAGATGGGAGTGGAACAAGAGATCATTGCCAACGGAGCACCTCCGAACACATGTTCCAAGACCGCATGGTTCACTTCTCTTGGACCTACTGGTACCAAGATAGTCTCGCGCGACGCATGGGGTGGTGGGAAATATGCTGAAGAGTATAGGACAGCAAGTCCTAGTCGATATGTCATGTTACCACAGATACGCCTCGAACCCATTCTTTCACGAAAGGCCAAGCAGTTGAATCCGAGCGGTGTGCAGTATGGTGCCGAAGTTACTGACATCGTGGAGAAGGAGGACTACGTGGAGTTACTGATTGAATACCGGGAAAAATCTAGACCTAGCGAGACTATACGGGCTTCGTATGTTATCGCTGCTGATGGTGGGCGTTTGGTAACAAACAAACTTGGAATCGAATTACATGGGGAGAAGGACATAGTCGACATGGTGACTGCACACATTCGAGTACCAATAGCTGCCAAACATCCTGAACCAGAAGCCTTCATAACTTGGTTCATCAACCCGGAGATGGGCGGAAGTATTGGGACTGGCTATATGTACCACCTTGGCCCATACCCCAACAACCCCGACACAGAAGAGTGGATGTTTGCCTGCGGCATCCTCCCAGACGACCCCATGCGATTCGACAATGACGCAATGATGAGTCGATTAAAGAAGAGCATCAATATTCCAGACTTGGAAGTTGAAGTCATGAGTTTGAGCCACTGGTCTGTCAACGCTATCTCAGCTGAGCAGTATCGCAGTAGAAACGGCCGCAGTTTCCTTGTTGGTGATGCGGCGCATCGCATACCGCCATGGGGTGCTCTTGGGGTTAACACTGGTATTCAAGATGCCAACAACTTGGTTTGGAAGCTAGCTTTGATGCTCCAGGGTAAACTCGGGAATGGCGACTTTCTGGACACATACGATGAAGAACGCCGCCCAATTGGAGAAAGAGTAGCGCAATCGAGCCTGGTTAATATGAGGAGTCACAACATGATCATGGACAAAGCCTTGGGTATCAGCAAAGATACTTCAGTCGCAGAGAACAAGAGAGCCGTTGAAATTCTGTTTGACGAAAGTCATCCAGGCTATGCTCAGACGCATGCGGATGTGCAGAGAGCGCAATCCATCCTCGATACAGAGTTCAAGGCCCCAGGGGCAGAGATAGGTTGGTTTTACCCAACTGCTGATATCGACAATGAGGGGCGGGATAACTTTCACGGTGGCCAAGTGGATGAGGATGGGAAGCTGAAGGTTACCGAATACTACCCTTCGACTATTCCTGGGCATCACTTTCCCCACATGTGGCTAAGGAGGGGAGATGATGTCGTTTCGTCCCGCGATCTTTTATGCTTGGACCGTTTCGTTCTCTTTACAGCAGACCCTACAACTTGGTACCAGGTCAGAGACGAGCTAATCCACGTTATTGCTATTAAGGGTAGGGACTTAGAAGATATTGATGGGAAATGGGGTCAGCTTTCAGAGGTAGGATGTAATGGAGCAGTTCTAGTAAGACCAGATGGTATTGTGGCTTGGAGAAGCAAGTCAGGTGGAGAGGACAATGTGAATAGACTCTATGCAGTTGTTGCACAGATATTGCGAAAGTAGTCTATACATATTAGGATCGAGGATTTTGCTGTCAAATCCTACCCTAACCTATAGGACGCGGATGCTAGGGCCCGGTCATCGTCGAAACGGGTGTAGCGTTAGGGTTGCGCGATCGAATCGGGCCTAATATATGATGCTACGTGAATCGACCCCTGATACATCCTAAACAGGTGATTTATAACGAAGACTCTAGAAGTCCCTTAGACTAGAGAAGGGGATACGAGACGCATACCGCTCCTAGAAGAGTAGCACGCGCTAGACCTACTTATAAGGTGCGCCTCGCTCTACAGATGAGGGCAGGAATTATTCTCCTTACGACCTACGTCTGTAGTCTTGATATACGGGTCGTCTCTTGCTATCCTTAGTAACGTGAAGCAAGTACTTGTTACAAGGTAACAAAGAATTGCTTCCTTTTGCCCGGGTCGCATAAAGAGAGACCATCGGGCGACCACGTCAGAAGGTAATGATCAACGCGGGGCGCTGATCACGTGATTGACATCACGCCAAGAACCACCATCAGGCGCTAGCATGCGATGGCAGCCTTGGTATGATAGAGGGCCATCAGGCTCGTCAGGCCAAGACTAAGGATGATAGTGATAGCAGTGATAGCAGACTAGATTACAATGAGTATATAGGAAGGTTAGATTTCATTATTACACTCGTTGTAGTCAACTCAAATAGTTCATCTCTCACACAGATTGTCAACTAGTTATTCTATCGTTTATAGAATCAGTATTGTTTATCCTTTAGTTACAACAATAACTCTTCTCTACCTAATCATTCTATACATTACCTTACGGACTACCGCTTTAGTCTACCTCACCTTAGTACAGACCGAGCCTAGAGAAGTATAGCCTAACCCCGTGTAACAGTACTATTGCCTACAGTTACGCCTTTACAGAATAATACAACTATTACCTCTAGATAGTGTACATCGAATATCTTTCTAATCCTATTGTTTAATAAAATACAGTACTTTTCTTTATATTGTTAAGTATGTATAAGCTATTGATATCCTTCATATTCTTCATATTCTCTTTATTCTCTTTTATATTTTTTCTTTTCTTTGAAGCTTCTCTTTTATTTGTATCTTCTAATTCAATTGCTTTTTAATTTACTCTTATTCCTCTACTTCCCTATCAGATCAGGCTACTGCGTCTTCTCGTAGAGCCGCAGCTAGAGACAGGTGCTCACAGCTGTAGCGATAGTATAACATACCTAAGAGAAGCGCCTAAGGTAAATAAGGAACTGCACCTTAACTAGCGTGTACCTTAACAGAGCTAGATCAGGTAGAGCGAGACATTCAACTCCAGCGAGGACGCCCTCTTCGGGGTAGAAGTCGAGCTAGCAGGCCAGCAACGTCGACGTCGTGTCAAGCACGAACGCCTGCAGCAGGGCTACCTTGAGCAGGGCTAGTGCCAACGGTGGCAGCTCGATAGCGCTGTGGTCAAAAATGAGGCGTTTGGAATACGCGGCAGGACTGGTTTTCATTAAGAATAGGTTGTGAAGGGTTCAGCGCGCACGACAAGATTTCCAGCACTAGTCGCAATGCGTTGCCTTGTTGCGTGGCGAATAGTCGAGACCATCAAGGTTTCCTGTCACTGCTGTCCGCAGATCGAAGGGGGGCTGCGCTTGATTTCGTGGACAACGATCACGAAGACCTCTCGGCGCAAATGTTCGATGTGATTTGTGTTGCGTTTACAGTACGCAATAAGCACTCGTCGAACGTATAATACCTGACAATATTTGTTCGTCTCCTGCCATGCCTGCACCCAACAAGCGGCACATACGACAAGTGTCTCCGTTGATGCGCGCCAGTCGCGTTGTTTGCTGGGGCGTGTCACGAAGGCATCCGCTTTACATGACAGATTGATGTAGACAAGGGGTAGTAGGAATCATGCGGTCCTTGCCGGCGTCAATCCTTCGCACCTCACTCCTGACACTAGATAATCTGTCTTAGAGGATATCATATCAATGTGATGTAACTCAGCTCGGCATCATCCGGCATAGCCTCGCCATCCATGATTCCATGTGTGAGGCAGTACCAATGACTGTGTAACCGTCTTCTCTCGGCCGTAATGCAACTGGATCGCCTGAACCCGTCAATACAGCGATTACATCCCTGACTGTAGTGTTCTCGAGTACCCAGCCTATGCGATTCCTTTCACTCAACATAAACCTCCGGCCGTTGGTTGTTCATGACACAGAGTAATCGAATTCGGCAACCTGATGATTCTGATGCGCTATTCCGAAAGGTGACAATGTTATCCGGGTCGTCCACTGATCAAAGAATCACAGCTCGCGAAATGAATGCACTCGTCCACCACCAATATTGCTGCCGCATAATGTCAGGGCCAGCGACTCTCTTGGTGGACTATGGTCGATACATTTCGTCCCTCCAGCATGAGGCCAATATTGAGCGACTTTTACTACAGTCTGCATCCTGCTTCGGTACGGCCCTGAAGTTGCCACTATCTGCTTCACCGAATCAACGATACTTCCGGCGATCCTCAATGATGTGATGTTTGTTCCAACCACAGAGTCAGCAGGCTTCAGACGGCGTGCTCTATACATACTGCTGAAGCGCATTTGCGTGTGCCATGTCAAGAGATCCAGATCGATTGGAATAGTCCAATCAGGTACCCAGATCGGTAGATGCAGCACGCGAGGTCGAGGTAAAATGCACATGAAGACCTTGGGCTCTTTGGTTTTCAAGATGAACGACAGAGCCAGCTTTGTGTACAAATCCTCAGTACTTTGGTGGTAATCAAGAAGGAGGGACAATCGCGAAGCTTCGGCAGCTGATAGCGTGAGCATGCCGTAGATTTTGTCTCGCGGGTCCTTCGACTCGTGGCCGCGCAAAAGACTAACGATGGGAAGTACATTGTTTGAAGATGGGGCGCCTTTGTTCCGCACATGCAAACGGAGCAGAAGAATGGTGAGAGGGGCTCTGAAGTTGTGTAACATATCAGCAAATGCTACAACAGTCGTTTGAAATCCGCCGACACCGCAGCAGCCACTGTGTTCGTTTATTCCTTGGACAGCCTGGAGGATCAGATCACCGTCCAAGACGCTTCTTCCACACTAGAATACGGGATGCTGTGCAAGAACCATCTCTTGTACGGTCCACATCCGGCCCCACCACGCGAAACTCGCGAAATGCTGTAATGCTTGGATGACTCGCCAAGACTCTACGTCCACTCCTTGTCCCGCAAGGGAAGGGGACAATGCGCGATTGACATGGAGCTCAGGATTCTGCCCAGCTATAGTGAAGAAATTGAATGCATCATTCACACCAGGCCAGGCCTCACTCAACCAGATCACTACCGTCTCTGCCTTACGAAAGATAGCACCCATGTGAGACACCTGATGGCCGCGCTCGTCAGTGTCGTCCTGATTGATGCAAACTGCGTCAACCCATAGCGTACGGGATCTGTCGGCGTGCCAGAGGTGCCCTAGGGCTTTGAATAGATTTGCAGTCACTTTCCATGGTTTTCCTTCGATCGTAATTGTTTGGTCGTTGTTGCGGTCACCCCAGATGTATGACAGAGCCTCGTACTGGATGGCAGGGTCATCCAGTGAGGCAATGCTGATATGACATGCAATGGCGTGTTCGTCGTCAGATGCTGCGTTCAAATGAAGAATTCTGACCTGATTTAAATCTTCGTCGAGTGGTGTGTACATCATTTCAGCCGAATGCGTTTCTTCGCTTGGCTCGTAGTGACTGGCAGACATGATGAAAGCCAGCAGACCACACGGCCGTGACAGTATACTTTGTCGCGAACGCTCGTATCGGAGCACATCAACATGAAGGCTACGTCAGAGTCGGGAGCTTTAGCGCTGCACGCGAGCTGGCGTGCACAGGCACTTGCGGAAAAGGCTGGGGTGCGGCAGCAGCTACACTAAATGGCCGCGTGACGAGCCAGGTCGCGTAACGAGCCACCCCACCATCCCAACATTGCGCGTCGTCCCAACTTCAACGCGTCATAACTCCACAACCATAGACCTAATTTAAGGAGCGATTGAATATATTAAATCGCGTAAGGCTGGAGATAGTTTCTCGTACCGCTAAGTTTTAAAAATATTCGGAGTTGATTAAATAACGCTGTTGCGGCGGCACAAGGGTTCGCAGGGCACCCGTGAAGCCAAAATAGCAAATTAACAACGACTTAACCTACAACAAGAGCAGGAGGTTGTTAGTTACATAGACAGAGCTACAAGAGATAGTCTACCGCCTACAGGTAGTATTTTGAAGAATTTCAGATCTGCTGTTGCGCAGCAAGAGGTCTCCAATAGCTAGGTTAAGCGGTTTCGCCGTCGTCATCCCGACAAGCTCATCACTAAATAGGACACCAGTATCAATCGTGAGCGTCACGTAGCTGACAGCAAGTATAAGTACGAGTTGTACTTTAACTTGCTACACTCCAAGATAGTAGAACACAGGATTAATAAGCGCAATACGTACAATATAGATAAGAAGGGCTTCTTTGTTAGTATTGCTAACTACAGAAAAAGGATCTTCTCTAAGGCAGTTTAGGAGGCGGGAGAGCGTACCTAGGCAATAAGGGATAGTAACAGAGAATAGATTACGCTGTTAGCTTGCGTATGCGCTTCTAGAGATGCACTGCCGCCTACTCTTATCTACTAAGGCACCTCTAGGGTTTAATTAAGCTAGGTTTACAACCTTCTAGAGACCTAAAACTACTAAATATTTGTATCTTACTTAGCTTTAGGATAGTCTAACAACAAGTTAAGTCTTGCTTAGCTTTAATAGGTGTTTAAACGTTATACAGCAGCTAAAGCTCGCTATTAATAGCTGTAAGGGGGCTGCGCTCTGTAGAGCAATCGCGAGGTATACAAGAGGTTGTATTTAATTAAGAACTAAGCTCCTAAGCTACGCAGCTATCTATATACAATGCTAGTTGCCTAAGTAACAATTAGGCTAATAGAATCTAAGTACTCGGGGTAGCACCTAGGTTCTGCGAGTAGACTGAGATTCTATTAAGGAGCTATCTAAAGGGCGTTCAGCCTATTACAATAGCGCCTTCTTATCTTTAACAGGCACAGTAGCTACGTTATACCTAAGTTTTTAGAGTTTTGTAAAGCTAAACGTATTATAGTTATAGTGTATCCTCCCTATTTAACCTACAGCTTGCAGCTGTTAGATGTAGTTCTTTTTAGGCCGCTTTTAAGTTACTACACTAAGTAGCTTACTTAACACCTCTAGCGAACCTAAGGCCTCTTAAAGATTACTAAATAGGACTTTTATTATTACTTTTAGCTAGCTTAGAGCTCTACAATAACTTACAATTTTATATTAAAGAGTTTTTAAGCTACAGGCGTATAGCTAATAGACGCAAGCTAGGTACTTTAACGCTTTAACAATAACGTATAATAATAAGATAACAACTTAGGAATTAGAGAGCAAAGCGACAGTAATAGCTAGCCTTAGCTGCGCAAAATTTTTAACGCTGCAGTAGCTAACAAAGCTAAAATTAAAGCTAAACAGCTATCCTAAGGCCTGCACTTGCTGCAGGTTAATAACGCAATTCTCTACGCTAAAAACAAAGAGCTATAGGCTAAACTTAACCTTATTCGAAAGCGCCTAATTAAGTCTACAACACTAACTACACGAGAAGGTAATAAGTAGCATAACGTAGGTGCATAGCAAGTGGCTAGGACAAGTAAGTAGCTAGCTTTTACTAAGACCCTACTAAAACTACAGCTACACACGACTGTACAGCACAGTTAAGAACAGCAATTAATATTTGTGATAGACTAAATTAATTAGAAACTTCTACTACATCTTGCTTGCATGTGCGCGAGTTGTGTCCTGCCTCGCCGCAGCGTCTACAGCGTCTTTGAGACGATTCGCCTACCTTAACACGCAACCTCTTCTTCGCCTTCTTCCTATTGCTGCGCGCTCTAAACTCCTTTAGAGTTGTTAGTTAAAGACTTTCCTTAACTATAAGAGTTCCCTCTTTCTGTACTCGCTTTCTTTTATACAATTTATGTCGCGTAGCAGCCTTGTTAGCTACTTTAAGCTTAGCGATACGCTTTTGCGACAATACTAAAGCATGCGCTATTATCTCTGCGCCTTTAGAGAGGCTTTTTACTGCCTTAACTATTAAAGTAGGTGAGCTATCTATATACCTCTAAAACCTCTTAAGAACTAGCTTTGTTTAAGACCCTAGTTCTAGGGTATTGCTTAGAGTTTGCGACTGCTAGAGACTGTCCTCGATAGTAAGTAACAGTAGAGTACGCAGGCGGACGTTAAGCGTTAATACTACAGTGTCTAGGTTAAGTAGAACTAAGCTAGCGCCTTAAAATCCCCCTAGGATATTGCCTTTCGTGATAGTAGCGTTAAAAGCTGCTTTAAAGCACGGCAAGAACTCTATTTTAGTAATACAAGTAATCTTGTTGTGCATTAGCTTCTTAGCTTAGCACCTATACGCTTTCTTCAACAGCGCAAAACACCTAACATTAAGCGGCTGCAGTAGGTGCGATAAATGCGGAGGCATGCAGAGGGTAATTATCTTCTTCTCCTCGCAGAGCTAGTAGAAATTAATCGAGTTGTAGCTCTTATAACTGTCGATAACTAGCAGGCGATAGCTGCTAACAACCCTCTTCTTTGTATGCTTGTTAAAGTGCTCTAGCTACTTAAGACTAAGCTTATTTATTGTCTACCTGTTCTTAGAGACCCTAATAACCTAATCCTAGAGCAGGTCCTCTTCCTTGTACTAGGCGGAGAGGTAGTGCTTGCTAGCAAAGATAATAAAAGGTAGAATTGCCTACTCTATCGCGTTAATGCCCTAAATAGCTGTAACCTACTCCTAATTGCCCTGCTGCACTGTCTTTAGCCGTCCTCAACGCTCTGCTGCTGTGACTACTGCTCTAGTCGATATTACGCCTATTATAAAGCTAGTCTTATTAAAGTTGTAGGTGTCTTTATCCTAGATGCTATACTTAGCTTTTATATTCTGTACTAGGCGGAACTAGCCTCCTATAATCTCAGAATCCTCGCAGAGAGCTCGACTATAGTCGTACTTTCGATTGAATTTGACTTTGAGCTCTAGGCGACGCTTCACGAAGTTTGTAGCCCACCTCTTGCTAACTAGGTCCTAGTTGCGGACCTAGAGCAAATTATTAGCCATCTCCTCAACGTCAGCGAGCCGAGGCGGGTATCCTTGCTCTAATAGCTTCAGAACATGTCGGACAATAGCTACCTCTTCTAATCCTCGAAGAGCTATTGAGTTAGGCATGCTATCGCGTCGATAGGGCGTTCCGGCACGTCGTCGTCTAAGCGTTCTTTCTAGCACGTTGTAGGCTTTAGCAGCGCGATATACAGTAAGTTTCGCGTCTTGTTTAAGAGCTTAAAGTGCGAGCTGTACTTGAGATTCTTTCTAGTCTAACAAGACGTTGTTACGTTGAGGCATCGCGAGGTAGGTAGAGTTTTAGTAGGGTCTTAGCAAAAGCCGGCCACTCGCTTGTCCCGGCCACTCGCTATGCACCTACGTTAGTAGAGCTGTATTCTACAGTCCTAAGAAGCTTACTAGCGAGCGCGCGCGCAAGGCCGCAGAACTAGACAAAGCCGCGAAGCTACAACTCTAAAAAGCTCGCGATAGAGAGATTAAAGCAGTAGAAGCAGCTAAGAAAAAGCGCTCTTAAGAAGCTGCAAAGTTAGCTTAACAGCAAGCTAAAATTGCTAAAGATGCAGAGGAGTAACAGCAGCGTAAGAAGAAAGCTGCCGCGCAGGAGCTTAAAAAGCAGCAACAACAAGCTGCAACCGCTTAAAAAAGTCGCGATACAGCAAATAAGCGTAAGCAAAAAGCCTTACCTAAGCTAGCAAAAAAATTAACAAAGCGTTGTCGTGCTGTTGCTTTATTAAGTTAGGTAGTTAAGAGTCCGCCTTAGGCGCCCTCCTTACCTAAATTTAGCCTACACACCCGCTAACTTAAGACGCTAGCAAGATACAAGTAGTGCAAACACTTTAGTAGCGTATATATATTAATACACCAAAAAATTCCACGATAATAGCTTTTGTGGGTGGCTCAATAACCTTATCTTTTTGATCGTCCGATCTTGGTGGGGTGGCTCGTTACGCGACCTGGCTCGTCACGCGGCCATTTAGTGTACAGTGCCCGTGCGCCAGATGATCACCAACGCCAAATGATCACCCCCAACAACTCAATGTAGTCAAAAAGATGAGGTTGTAGAGCCACCACAAATCGTAGTATAATTGCGCAAAGCTATAATTATACTATATACAGGTCTACGAAAGTTTTGGCTTATTCAGATAATCTTTTGGAGGGCGTTATCGGTCGTTGCCGTCGACTACGCGGTGGAGCAGCTTGTGGAACCCTTGCGGCTCCCACTACAGCTAGAGCAACACCACCACGCTTTTGACGCTTTGCAGCTGGCGTATGAGGTTGTGAAGCCTTGCGCTTACCCTTTTGGGAAAGTTCTATAAGCTTCTTGGTGTTGTTGATGAGCTGTTGGTGTTGTTTCTTGGCTATCTTTTCAGCCTCCTCCTCCCTCTTCTCATCCGCCCGTTTCTCACGCTCTACACGCTTCGCGGCTTTGAGTTGAGCCTCACAATCGCGAGCTGCTTTCTTGATCTCGGCTTGCTTGGCTTTTTGAAGCTTTTCAAGCTCAGCTTGTTGTTGTTGTTGTTGTATCTTGTGATCGCGAGCTCGTTTGACGCTTGTTGGTGACCACCAAACAGCTCCACCATGATACTCAGGATGATCCTCAAGCTGTAGGGTATAGGACTTGGTTTCCCGCCTCTTCTTGATGGCTAGGGACTCCCTGAGGCCTTTGAGTTCGCGGTGGAGGAGTGTATTTTGAGCTGCAAGGTGGTGTAAACTTCGTTGAAGCTTCTTAACGCCCTTGCTGCTTAAATCTCTCACCTCACGACGTACAATTGACTTTAGCTTAAGCCAATCCTCCCCGGAGAGTACAGAGGTTGAACTAGCTTCTGAATCTGACCCCTCCTTGGCAAACTTGTTGAGTACAACCGCTGGGTTAGGTGGGTGTATACTAGTTGCTTCAAAAGACCTCTTGATGAGGGGAGGTTTGAAAACCTTGATCTAGGACCTCCAGAAGAGCGGGAAGAAGTCTCCTTTGGTTATATTGAGTAATCCTTGGCTGTTTTGAAGGTATTGAGTCAACTCAGTTGAGTAAGCGTTTGCCAGAGGTTTAAACATCACCACATCAAGTGGTTGAAGCGTATGGGTAGCGTGAGGTGGGTAAACAGCCAATAGGATCTTGTGATCGTGGCAATAATTGATAAAGTCCATTGTAACATGAGATCTATGGCCGTCAAGGAGTGGTAATCGATACCCAGTTGAAGCATGCCGCCGGGTTTCTCTTTCAAACACCTCCTTGAGCCAATGCAACCCGATATCGTTGTTGCTCCAGCCAGAGGGTGATGACATAGTAAATACTGAGTGGTTTCCTGCTTGTACAGCATCAACCCAGCTAGTTTGTATAGCTCCGTTGGCTGCCTTGAAGATGAGAGAAGGACTCAATACGCTCCCATCCGAACAAATACACGCCACAACGGTGATCCACTCACTTGAGCCATCCTCAAGCGGTTGGCGTACCCCCTTTTTATCCCAACGTGCCTTAGAGAAGATACGCTTTGTTCTGCCAATTCTTCCAAGTTGAAACCCCTTTTCGTCCATATTGAATATATGGGAGGGTTGGACATTGTACTCCTCCACCTTTTCAACCAGAAGCTTGAAATACAAGCTGTACTTGGCTCCTGAATCGGCATTGCAACGAAGTTTGCTCATCCCCTTGCTGTAGCCAGAGATGAGATGGTTCGGATGACGTTGGAGGAACCGGGAAACCCAGGTTTCCGAAACCGCTTTACCAGCCAAATCTGAAGCAAAGCGTTGTATCATCTCCCTTGTAGGTGGCAAACGTCGTTCGGTAAGCGTATCGATGTATCGTACAAGCTCGGTTTCGTGTTGTGGATGGAGGGAGAGGTGCTTTACGCCATATGCCTCTGTTAGACCCTTGTGCCTTCGGGCGAGCGTACAGCGGTTGACGCCATACTTCTTGGCGAGTTGTTGGTACGAGAAATGTTCTCCTGGTTCGCACGATTCGATTTCTTGAATCGCTTCTTGAATCGGATCCATATTGGTTGAGTTGTGACGCGTTGAAGTTGTGTTGTTGTGGTGGTCGGGGTGATCATTTGGCGTTGGTGATCATTTGGCGTTGGTGATCATCTGGCGCACGGGCACTGTAGCAGGCTACTGTAATCCGTCCCGCGCCCGGGCCCCAGCCAGTGTGAAGGTGGCGCGACCCTCATCGCACCTTCCAGTGAACACCCTAGTCAACGAACAATCGCAATACAACTGATAGCCAAAATTACCCACGTTCACTCACACGAGAGACATTCTCTTGGCGTCGTTCCAAGTACTGTGGCCTGTGACCTAGCTTATCCGGTGCACGACGGCAAGTGCGCAGGGCGCGCACAGATACAGGATGTGTTAGAACGCCCTGACCAGCATCTACAATCTTTTCTAAAGGTCGCATACTCCTCAATATCGCGATCATACCATTGCAACCATGCCAATGACAGGGAGGCATAGACGCGCGAGGCAAAATAGCTGCTGGACGTGCAAGCTACGTCGCAAAAAATGCGATGAAATACAACCGGCCTGTGGAGACTGCGATAGTCTAGAGATTGACTGCGTCTATGGATCGAAGCCACACTGGATGGATACTGACGAGCAACAACGACAGAAGGCCATCTTACTCAAAGAAAAAGTGAAACACAAAGCAGCATTGAGGCGAGAGAAATCCACCACGGCCACCAACCGAACTGCACAAGACGAAGCTGTCCATCAATTCAATACCATACCAGATATCGTGGTGTCGAAGCGCCCTTCGTCGATCGATCTCGCGGATTCTGTTGTACCTAACGAACAGACATCGGCCTCAACAAGCATCTTGACACCTCCCGTCATGCCCGTGCCGTTTCCCTTTTCTCTACTATCCAGCGATATACAACACTACCACTACTCTCAACCCGTGCAGGAAAACTCACCCATCGAAGCAGACTTCATCAACAAGTACATCGACTTCGTCTTTCCAGCACTCTTCCCCTACTACCGACCATCCCTTTTCGACACGGGCCGGAGCTGGCTCCTGCAGCTACTGGGAAAAAGCCGCATCGCACATCATGCCGCTCTCAGCATATCGTGTTACTTCTTCACTATGGCACTCATCGATTTGGAGGGTACTTCTGGCGATCATGCCGAATGCAGAATGTTGCGTTGGGACGAAGTTGAGCGACATGCTGAGAATTGTTTCGATAGCCTAAGGAAGGACATACTAGCTCTCGATCTACACACGCAAGACATCGAGCAGTTAGCCAGGGTTGAGACCTTGGAAAACATTGTTCACCTCCTCATCTTCGAGATGGCACTGAGCAAAGCCGCTCCTTCGAATTCTCATCTTTCGCCTGCGTACACTTTGCTCAGACAGATCATGGGCTGTGATCCGTCGTCTCACGAGAACCAAATGCAGTCAGGAATCACAACGGTTCTCCTACGAATCGAGCCCCCACTCTGGACTAACCCTGCCGATGGCACTCACATTTGGTCGCCTGCCCAAGCTGGTGTCAGATTCTGTGCAGCGTTATTGATCTTCGTCGATATTGTAGCAAGTATCGCTCTCCAAGAACCTCCAACACTTCTTCCTTATCACTCCACACTCCTCGCCGAGAAGGACGTCGGAGTTAGTCTCCCTAGCGATGCCGAGATTCACCTCTCCACCGTTATCGGATGTCGCAATGGCGTCATGAGGTCAATCGCTGAGATATCGATGCTGAATGTTTGGAAGAATGAACAAATCGCTACGAACAGCCTAGATGCCATGAAAGTCGTTGATCGCGCCTCGCAAATCGCTCACTCACTCGAAAGCGACATAATTGAGATTGAGAACGAGAAGATCACAAGATCTGCGTCTGACTCTCACACCCGCGGGCCGCTTGATCTAGCTCTGAATCCCTCCTCGTCTTCTACTCCAACGCTAATATGGGCCCGTGCAGCACAGCTGTACCTCACAGTTGTCGTATCTGGTTGGCAATTGCTTAGTCAAGACATCAGGACCAACGTTGGCCATATCATCGTATTACTCGAAGATGTCCCGGCGTACCAGCTGCGCGCACTCGTTTGGCCGATATGCGTCGCTGGTTGTCTAGCCCTAGAAGAAGAGACGACCTTTTTCTTGGGACTTTTCGCGGGTCTAGGCAAGGTTCACACAGCTGGAACATTAGATGACGCACGCCAAATCATGGTAAAGGTATGGGAAAGAAGAGAAGCGCCGAACATGATCAGCTGGAATCTTGCCTCTTGTTTCAGTATACTGGGGTCTCCAATTCTACTAGTCTAGCTACAATGTAATTCCACATTAAAACCGTAAAATCGAATCTCGTCCATCACGATACGCTGCGTTCGTTCTCGCAATGCAGAAGACGAACAACTCATTTTCCTTTCCAGAACCCAACAAATTCCTCCACACTCGTCGGCTTTATCTCAGGAAACTTCTCGTTCAAACTTCCTTCATGGGGAACAAACATAATTCCATTCACAGCCCACAGCCCGAACTTGGCCAAGAGGCCGACAAGTAGCGGCTTGGGGAAGTTCGGGTACAGATGTGGGTGAGTAGGCAATTCGGTGATCTCGCCGCGTGCAAGCTTCTCGACAGGGTCGAAACTCACGGTGAATTTTGAACCTATTGTTCATCAATACGTGGTTCGTGGTTTGGGGAGGAGGCGAAAAGCATACCGCGGGCTTCTTCAGCTAACTGCACGAGGCGAGTCAAAGAAGTGTTCTCGCTGTAGCAATGCAGCGCTTCTTCCCAATGTTTCAACCCCATGGCTGCGACTACAAATCTTCCCAGGTCTTGCGTGTACGTGAAGCTTACGGTCTCATCGCCTGTGTTACCAGGGAGCGCTGCTGTCTTGTGCGCCATGTCCACGAACACAACGAGAGGTGTGAGGTAGGTGGGTACGTGCGGCATACCGTAGTAGTCTAAAAAGAGGCCGACGTAGAATTGCGTCCATTCCAGTCCGGTCTTGCGAACGGCGGCAATACTTGGCTCCCGAAGGCCGTTGAGTTCTAGCTGGAGGGATCTAGCAAATAGTTGTTAGGCTAGAAATCCTGAGTGCAAGGAAGGAGGGCGTAGTTAGAAAGGGGGTCCGTACGGTTCGTCCGGCGTAGCATTGCCCCAGTTACTTACTACGAAGCGCTTGGTACAGGAGGACTTGTCTGCAGCTGCAATGAAGTTCCTCTCTGCCTGTGCAGCTTCAGGATCATACATGACAATGGTTGAAATGATGGTATGGATATTGCTTTTCTCAAGCGTTTTGGTGAGCTCTTCGACGTTGGTGTAATCGACCGCGATGACTTTGGCAGCGCTCTTGCCTTCCGGAACCTGCATATTGATTGGTACCTATGGTTTACTTGCTGATATGGAAGTATGATCACGAACCTTGCGAGAGATTACAATGACCTCATGACTGCCTTCTGCTAGAAAAGTGTCGACGATTGTTTTACCGACAGAGCCTGTCCCTCCGATGACTGCTACGGTGACCATTTCGTATAACTGTTCTTGAGATGATAGAGCAGATACCTATCCTAGAGAGAATATAAGATGTTGATGCGACGAATCTCAGAGAGATGATGCGATGATGGCAGATGCTAATCTGGCTGGTATCCGCTGGTGCTGATGCCGAAGGTGGGAAAAGTACGAAATCTACCTCTTCTTATACACGCCTCTCTGACAATCTCCGGCGCAACGTAATCACCGTCGCACTGAAGAAAACCTGCATTTCCTAGCATCTTTGAGGCCTGAAGAGTATAAGTAGCTGGTTAAAGAGATCGTTTGGGGTTAGGCGCGCGGCCAGAGTTGGTGGCGGCAACGCTAGCCTCGATTGGAACACCCGCGCGGGCTCTGGATGTGGAATCGCGCAAGGCTGCACCTTATTTTGCGCGATCCATCGTCATTAGTGAAAGTTGACGGAGTTGTCGGGCACCCGATCTGGAGACGTCGACTGTAAACGATCGATGCGTGGTGCTTGATTTTCTTGGCTGTTCTTCCCGTCCTAAGAAGCGTTGCGCATGAGCCGATTCCAGACACCGTTCTACCTTCGAATTTAGCCACGCCTCGGCCTATCTTTTCGAATTGTCTCCAGTCTTCCTGGTCATGTAAGTTGTCATACGACTGAAGACTAGAATCACGAGCGTGGCTCTTTTATTGTTATATTCATATGATCGCCCACTACAGCAAATCTCTACTCTCTTACAGCGAACCCGCGAGCTCTCGTGGTGGCGCCTGCGGTGAATGATGTCCCTGCGACCACGCTGTAGCCTCGCTGTACGGACTATTGAATTCGTTGCCTGTATGATGCGCGACCGCAACGCCGGCTGGCTTGCTGTACTGCTGCGATTCTGGCTGGTAGCTCAATCTTGCGTTCAGGTCCTTCATCTTGCGATGGTTGCGATAGAACAAGTATGCTGCGGCCGCAACCAGTATCGCACCCACACCTACGCCAACACCAATGCCGGCCTTTGCTCCTGTAGACAGGCCGCCGTCGTCACCTGTGGGGCCGGTGGCTGTCGGGTCTGTAGATGTTGATGTGGGAGCTGCAGAGCTTGGTGTTACGCTTGGTGCCGGTGTCGTGGAGGGGGTTGTTACAGGGTCCTTTGCCGCAGTCGAAGACATCGCCATGATTGATGCGCTATGGGTAGGATCAGAAGTAACACCTATTGTCGCACCAGCAACACTTCCAATCCCACTTGCGAAAATAGCAAGCTGGCAACCAACGGGTTTGCTCCAGTCGTTAAATTCCTGCGAGAGCTGGATCGGGCCCCAGCGTTCCGTTCCATTCTCGTTGATATTCCTCCTAAAGTCTTTGAACCTTGTCAGTCGAGCGCAATCACCAACAAAGGCTTGTAGTTTGACTCACTATAGCCCTTTCCTCCCGCGACACCCTCAGAGCAATTGATCAGCAGCAGCTCCGCGAATGTTGACCACCAATACACGTCCACCTGATCATTGTAATTGATGTTGAGGTGGTCTTCCTCAAGCGGGTAGTAGAAGTCGCCCCTCTCTGTAGACATCTTCGAAAATATCGCGTCGTTGTCGTCCGGTATGGGGTGGATATGGATGCAGTTGTGACTCTAACAAGAATCTGGAAAGACTGTCGTACGTGCGGCAGCTTTGTACAACGTCATAATCAGCCCATCTCCATGTTGCGAATCCTTCGGTGCCCTTCCAACGTGTCTCTCGCGGCCTGAGTCAAGACAGTACGAATCACGATGCGAAGTGGCGCAAAGCTGGGAGTGAGGGTTGCCCGAAACGGCCCCCGATCTGCGCACAGCCTGACATCCGGATTCAATTTTATTCCTCTACTACAAATCAGATCGTACTTGATGCAATGACAAGGTCACTTGACATGTGGTGTGTCTTGTCGTTGACGACATGCGGGGTGGTTTGAATGGTGTAATGGTATCGGTGAGCGCACAGCCTGATGCGCAAAAGAAACCTGTGGCTGATAGAGCCGTCTTGCAAAACCATGACAGCTGTCGCATGCCTCTGGGAAGGTTCACTCTGGACCCTGATGATAGACGAGGTTTATTCACTCACGATCTCGGGTCTATCATGACTAAAGGATGAGCTGACGGCCAGTGTGGCCTTCATCCATTTGGTGTTGAGTCTGACAAGGCTGTTGTCGGACAAGAAGGCTGAGCCGCGGCATAGTAACCGAGAATCTTACATGCGCTGCGCCACGTGCTTGACAGACCGCCTCATTGGGCCTCTATATTCTTGGACGTACCTTGGTCTCGTGTCGAGGAGGCCTGATTCATATGGCACCAGAGTTTATTGGTCCCACGAGTGCGTTGACGGCAAGCGCGGTACTTCGTGCGAGCATCGACCGACGTATACAGAGCTGCTCATTCTCTACCTATGCAGGCGGTTTGCAACCCATTTATTCATGCGGTCATACACATACGAGTTGTGCTGCGCTCTTGGTATCGCTATTTGCAGCTAGTGTAGGTACATGACATCAGCGCGGCAGTTTACACAAGCCTTAGCCGATGCACATTGGCCTGTCCACCTTTTGGACATTTCTTTCTGTGTTGTAAGTCATCACGGAAGACGAGCAGACCTACATAAAGATGATAGATAGGTCTGCATGGAACGCCTTAGCCACATCTTCCAGCCCCGTCACATGCATGGCGCCGTTGTCGCTTGCGATTTTGACGTTGCCCGAGTCTACATTTCTTCCCCCAGACATGATCTTGATAGTGCTACATTTGGCAAGACTGTTGTCTTGGAACCAGCCAGCGATCGTAATATTGCCTAACGCATTGGTGTCTTGGTAGGAGCCAGTAAGTGAAGTAGTGAAGGTGGCGTTAGAAAACGAGAACTATTCGCAAATCAGCGATCCATTTCACGATACGGACAGTTTCGAATTCGCACGTACCTTGATCTCCTTGATGTCAGTGGGTTCCTGGTTCACACCGTCGTCAAGGTAAAGCTCCCGTTCGGCTTCCCGCTAACCGTCGAGCGCGACTAGAATGCTCCACGGGTTCATCCTGGTGGTTTTGGTCGTATTCCCAGGCTTCTGACTTGCGATAATGCTACCACCACGCACGTGTACTGGGATGTGCTCAAGCGGTGCATCTAATGTTACATTCTGCCCTGGCTGGGCGTGCACCTCTTTGAGCGTATACCAATTGTACCACCGTGTATGTGGCGCATCAGGGAACACTCCTTGTGAGACGCGCAGCAGAGGAGCTAGTACCGGCGTGATCAAGATGGAAGGTCCGAGCGTGAACTGATTATCGACACTTTTCAGCGACTCGTCGTCAGGAAAGTTCCATGACAACGCGCGCAACACTGTTTCACCGCGCTTGTGCGCAGCATGAAAGAGTGTGTATTGGTAGGGCAAGAGACGGAAGCGCACATCCATCACACGACGAGTGGCTTCTGCAGTAGTCGCCCACCTGAATGCTTCCTGCGCAATTGTGTTGCGAGAGTTGTGGTTGCGATATAGAGGGAAAAAAGCACTGAGCTGCATCCATCGCGTGCAGAGCTCCATGTCTGCATTTCCGTTGAAGCCGCACGTCTCAACACCAAAGTACGGAATGCCAACTATGCTGAAGGTCAACGCTTGAGGAATGGTCATGTACATGTTACCCCAGCGCGAGTTTGTGTCGCCGCCCCAGTGGCCAGTTATAGCACCGGAGCCGGGTGATGTTGATCTCGCGATCCAGAACGGACGTTTTCCTGGGAACACAGATCGGAGCGCGTTATAGGTTGCTTTGCCGGAGACATAGCCGTAAGTGTTATGCAACTCGTACTCGGTCGTGTTGTATCCATCATTGTGCGTGGCGTAGGGAGCAACCGCTTGACACAGGAGTGTGTGCCCTTCGAGAGTCAGGTTCAAAGCATAGGGCGGGAATGTTATGTTCCGGACGCCGGGAATCGCTGAAGTAAATCCCACAGTGGCCGTGCCGACAGTTGTGGTTGGCGTGGGGTAAGCTGATGCTTGCGACGCGCTTGCTGCGCTCGCAGACGCTGCTTCGGTCGCGTTTGTTTGGTCAAAAGCTTCAGGATAGTCGTAGTTGATCTGACCAGGCTCTCCAGGCAGCTTGAAAGGCACGTGGATTGGATTGTCCGCAAGTCTCCCTGTCCTACACGAGCCAGTGCACCACGATGACAAGTCAGAGATGTCGAGCCACCAACCATCAAATGGAAGCTGATCATGATACAACTGCATCTCATTCGTCCAAAAGTTTTGAGTCGCGTTATGCAAAAAGTCGGGCCACACGCTGAAGCCTGGCCACTGGATGCCGATGTAGTCATCTGTGTGCCCTTCTCCATGCTTGATATAGAGATCAAGTGCTTTTCTGCGATTGTAGGTAGGATATGCGTCAGTACCGTTGCATGGTCCCGGCACATGCACGTTAGAATCCAGAATAGGCATCCAGTACTGACCGTTTGCATGCAACTTGGCGAGGAACTCCGTGCCTTCATCGATGGGATAGGTATTGTTGTCGTGAGTGAAGATGCCATACTCAAACAGATAATCCAAGTCGTTCCAGATAGCTTCGAGTTGAATATTCGCAGCCACATATCCATCGATAATCTCTTGTAGAACAGTCCAGTTCTGGTAGCCCCAACGAACTTGATGGAAACCAAGCGCCCAGTAAGGCTGCATGACAGGTGTGCCAATTACACCAAGCTGCTGCTGCGCCAGAGCCTCCGTTGGCGAAGGACCACTGAAGAAGTAGAAGTCGAAGCTGCCACCGATTGTCCGGTAGATGATACGATCCGGGCGTAGAAGCCATTCTTGACCGTGGAGGTTGCGACCGTATACCACGTGAGACTTGGAAGACTCATTATTGTAACGGGTCTCGAAGTAGACTGGGTGTGTGCTGTGCATATTCGCATCGATTGGTTGATCGTTCATCTCATTGTATTGATTCCAGAAGGTTTTCGTGTACTGGTTTGGTAATCGAAAGCTTCCACGTATCGCCTCCGGCAGTCCATAGACATTGTACTCTGGCACCATGTTTGTGACTAGCTCGAGGAATTGGTCTTCGAACACGATCTTGTGGCTGTAGGTGTCGAAAAGCGCCTCACCAGTCTTTGCACGCTTGACCCGAAATTGGAAGGTAGGATCATTAGTCCACTCGAACCTCAAATCACTATTGCTAGCAGTAAACCCATCAGAGACACTGCCACTAGGACTGAGAGACTCATCCAAGATGTACAAGGATCTATTCGATGGGGTAACATATTTGGGGTAGATCTTGACGTTGAGCTGAGCAGCATTCTGGTACTGCACTTCAAGGACAAGGTCTGAAATCTCGTTTCCGTACGCATCGCATGCAGGACCGGCGAGAGACAGGTCTGCAGTGATGGTGTTGTCGGAAGTAACGATGTTAGCGGCTTTGTATCCAGGGCAAACTCTTTGCGCATCTGGCGCATCTGGGTTGATGATATTGGGTGTGATACTGGGTGCAAGGTTGAGTGTAGATGCTAACGTTGATGTTGGTGGCCATGTGTTTGGACCAGGCGGCTGATCGAGTGTGGTTTGGCCTAAAGGTATAAGACTCTCGTTCAAGTAAATCTCGAAGGGTGGGCATACCTGAGGCCATAGCGGCCAATACAAGAGCGAGACACGTTCACATCGTACACGAGTCAAGTGGGAGAGAAGTGTGGATACGTGGAACACTCGATGTCTGCCGACTGATGTAACTTCCTGGAAAGACTGTAGCCTGTGACATGCAGCTGTCAAAAGACGCCTATGCTTCTGGTCCAAACCTTAAATCTAGACACCATTCGGGTGTCGATCATGCTGGCCGTCGGCTTGACGTATGTGAAAGATGCGAATTCGAATTAGCATGATGACCTTCCCCTATACATCAAGATCCGTGTTTGCTAGATAGTTGCCGGACATTTCTCCGGCTTAACGTGTGGCCACTGCACAGACGAATACATAGGCTGTCCCCGCATCTTGTGCTGCTTCCGAGAGCCTTAGTCAGGTACTAAAGCTAGGTTGAGCGACGCCGGCGGGATAAGTCGATGAGACACAAGCTCTTTGTGATGTTGAGAGGCCGTCTCGATGGAAGATCGACTTGGTTGCTCATGTAGACGAATCATGGCTTGGGAAGGTCAAGCAAAGCTTGGATGAACCAAGCTCGGCTATGTACATCTTAGCGTCTCTCAAATCTAGACACCGCTCATGACGTCAACCACGGCTCTGCGATCTCCCCACCTGCCTTATGTTTCTCGAACACTGTAGCTGGGGTTAGCGCATTGAACGATAGCTAAGGCGTCGTTGATGATATCCTGACAGGTTCCGATACCATGCGTGGTGGTAGCGCGGCAGCTCACACAAGCCTCAGCCGACGCCTGACAACCCTCCCGCTCTTGACCAGGTCGGCAACCTCGCCATTCATATAACCATACACAAAACCTTCACCCACAACCCACCACGCGTCTTGTGTCTGCTTCCTCAGGACAAGCGGAATGCTGCACCCGAACAGAATAGCAACAACATCGCCCGGCCGTGCGCGACACGGTGCCACACCAACATAGCCCTGTTCGGTGACCATCAACCGACGTGCTTTCTTCCGCACAGTATCGTGAAAGCGCGAGAGAAAAGTGTCGAGCTTATCGTTCATCTGGTGCATGGGGTGGGACGGCGGTCGATGGTGTGTTGGGGGTGGCGATGTGAACTCGGTGGGTACCTGCTTCACCAGATCCTCTAGCGATGTGGTGCCGAACAGGAGCTTCCTGTTATGCTCGAACCATGTAGAGAAGCTCCAGTCGACTGGGTCGCCATCGATGCACGCATGGCAAAGGAAGAGGAAGTCGGTGATGTAGTGCACTGGTGCTTGGAAGCAGAGGTACTTGTCCTGGCGGTCGATGACCAGAGAGCGTGCTACAGATTCGAGCCAATCCATGGGCAACATGGTAGCTCTTGGTGCGCTGCGCTGCTCTCGTTGCGACTGCACCAGCTCATGGCCAGTCTCGCTACAGACGAAGCTCTGGCATCGTAATTCCTGTCCGTCAAGTCCTCCAAGGCCATGTATGGTATCTAAGATGACACCATCACAGTACAGATCCTTCAGATCACCGGAGAAAGAGACGCTTGCTTCTTTCCTCAAGCGTGATCCAGGCGCATCATATGAAGCTTTCCACCGCGTCGACCGCAGTGGCCTGAAGTTTCCAATTTGTTCGCAGGCACTTTGGCTTGCCATGAGCGGTACAGGTGAAGCGAAGTCAATGGTCGTCCTCCAATCTGGAGTCCAGGTGGGTGCTGCATCTTTAGTACCCGGATCGCTGACCGCGGCGTGGCGGCAGAACAGATGCGTGAAACAAACAATGTCCAGCGATTTGTGAGCATGCCAGAAGGAGCGAACAAGTTTCGCAAATTGATGCGCAACATCGGTGGTATATTCGGCGGGTCCTATGAGCTCTCGATCCTTTTCGCTAATCAGGCCAAGAACCGAGTATATGCGGTCCCTGCTGTCGGTCGCGGAGTGGTTGCCAAGATACGCCATGATAGCAATCAAATTGATGCCGACCGAGGCTGGTTTAGTGAACCATTGATGAATGCGACGACGATTGAACGCTCCATCGAATAGCTTCCGCGGTACGAGCTCGTGTTCAAACTCTTGGCTGATGGTGCTGCAAAGAAAGATGCTGTAGATTGCAGTCTTGAACCTTCCGCGGCTAATGCTCGCCATGCCACAGTATAGCTTCGCCTCTTTCGGAAGTACAAACTCTTGCAGAGTCCACACTCTTGTCCACCACGGCCTGGCTAGCAGCGCGCTGACAGCAGCGCACTTCTCGGTGAACTCAGGGTTCTCAAGCTTTTTGCGCATAGCGATGTCGTCTCCATTGAATGCGATCTGTAAAGTGGAGAGGTAGTGCATAAATTCGATTGCATCTGTACAGTCGCTGTCTCTCTCTTTCTCTTCACCAAGCCATACTATCGCTCTTCTTGCCCTCTTGTAGATGTCGGCCATGATGCGAACCTGTTTCTCGCGTTCGCGGCTGTCGTCGAGGTTGATACATAATGAATCGATCCACCACCAGTCACTAGCTTTGAAATCGCTGTGACGAGTAACCATCTTTAGAAAGGGCACAAGACTGTCCAATATAGGCAGTGTTCCAGTCCTCACATTAATCGTAACTCCCGTGTACTTCCGCTCGCCCCACACATAACTGGCTGTATAATAGTGAGGTGCACCAGCGATCGGGAACCGCCGTAACTTGCCAGTGAAGATGCCATCTTCAGACCGCGAGAAGTGTAGGAGACGGATGGAAGTTTCATCGACAGGTTCCGCGAAGGCTGAAGCGCTGGGTCGTGAAGGCGTGCCAAGTTCCATAGGGGTTCATGATGCAGGTGGGTGGTGCCGGGAGTGGCTGATCCAATTACCACCCCACACTCGCTAATTCTTGGCGGCGCCCTGTACGTCGTGAGCGGCGCAACGACTTTCCAATTACGATAGTCGACAGCCTAGTAGAGCACAGCTTCAATATGATGCTATTCACATCGAACTCAGTGACTAGTGTCTAGTTTGTTTTGACACGTTGCATTCTCGATTGAAACGCGACCGATCACTCTCTCCTCCGCCTCCAACTCCAATGCCCCTCCAGATCTCCTTTAAACCCCTCCCACATCTTCCAGTTTTCCGTCCAAACCCCGTCTTTCATCTGAATAGCCTCTTGCGCCTTCTCCGCATAACTCAACGCCTTCTGCCTATCACCAACAGCACTATATGCCAGCGCCGCAAACCCATACGGCATGTCCATGAAACCCTCAAGACCCTCTCGGCGATAGAGCGATAGCAATTCTTCCGCCATGTCGACCGAACCGGAAGAGGAGGCGGACGACCAGTCATTGAGCTTCTTTTCCAAAATCCTGATACGCTCAAGCGTAACGTCAGAACGGGGATCTGCACACCTCTTACACGTACACATGAAATGAAACCCCTGCTGCAGATGCTGCCGTCGAACGTCCGTTTCCTCCAGCGGACTCGTGTAACTTATCGTGATCTCCTCGCCCTCAGCGATCGGCCGCGTCACACGCACCGTATGTGTCAACATATCCGCATCCACCACATACTGCGCATTTGGCGCGCACGCGTGATTCAACCTTGATGTCTCGGGCCACACGGCCAGATGATTTGCGCCCCCGAGCAGGATCTGGAAGGTATTCGCTTTAACAATGTCTTGGACGCGCACCCTCTCATCTCCATACACGGTCGCTAGGGAGAGGAAGTTTTCTTGGAGTGTCGGTGGGAGTTGCGAGATAGCGGTGCGCCAGAGTGTTTCGCGGTCTAGGGTCGATAACTCGGCTTCTAGATAGGCGATGAGTGCTGGTGTGTGACTTGTTACGACGTCGCCGAACGCAAGGGGCCTAGTGGCTAGCATGCCGATACCTTTTCCTGGTATTTCAGTCGCTCGATACACGTTTGTAGGTGTGTTGATATTCCGCGCTGCATGAATCGATTGTTCGAGAAACGCCGGTAACACAGCGAATTGCCGGGCAAGACGCGGTGTCGTCACGATTGAAATCCCGCGTCCTCCAGCAAAAGTAGCGTGTGTGTAAACGCATAGTGTGTCGTCGATGCCGGAGAAATGTGGCGTGCAGACTGGGTTGTGAGTCAATGGTTCGTAGATATCACGCGGTTTCGCCTGCACTTGACCCAAAGGAGAAAAGAATTCAGCGCAAAATGCGTAGGTTTGTGATGCGTCCAGTGAGGTTTGAAAGGCCAAGTTGTAGAGGGGACTTTCTTGCCAACATGGTTGACGTTGCAGCGTCCATGGTACCAAGTCGACCGAGGCGACATGTGCTAGGATAGCAGACAGATTCCGCATTATGTTACAGATTTGAGCAAGGCAGTGAGTTATTTGGCCCGGTATCGAGGCAGAGTCGCAAGAACATGGTGAAGAAATGTCAACGTTGCACTGCGGCTGATGTGTGAGGTTCGCATGTGAGACACAATATGTTTGAGCGCATGTCGCCAAGTATAGAGCGCCAAGCAATGGCCTTAAGCCCGGTAATCATAAGAGAAACGACATGTGATGGTGGTAATACAGAATTGGGTATTTGAACTTATCAAGCTAACCTAAGCACCTGTCAATGCTTTTTGTGGTGTTCCCTAGAGGAGAAGGAAGAATACGCCTATACTCCACGACCTGCAGCGTGTCGCTGTAACGTCGGTATTGCAATGCAAAATGTGGCTCAAGCATCGCCGTTGGCCTCGCCCTCGGAACTGCGCTTCTTCTTCTTCTTTTCCTTGCCTTCGCCCTCTTCCCGTTTCCGCTTCTTTTCCTTCTTCTGCTTCTTGTCGCCATCTTCTTCTGGTGCGACATATTCCATCATCCTTTCCCTGCGCTTTGCGTCCATCTTGTCCTTCATCTTGTCTTCCCTCTCTTCCTGTACTTTCCTCTCTTTTGCGTGCTTGCCCAAGAAGTACTCTCCGCTCTCGATCTGCAGATCCACCTTGCTCTTCTCCTGGGCCGGCGGGAACGGTGTGTATGTCTTCTTTGTTTTGTCGGTAACCTTGTGGGGTACGCGGCGCTTGCTGAGCGAGCGCTTTTTGAAGTTGGGGAGGAAGCGATCCCAGCTCTCGTTGACTAGCTCTGGGTCCTATGTGGTGGCGCAAAGTCAGTGTACGTCGCATATGCAGTTTGTGCTTCCACGACTTACCTTGGCGAGCTCCTTCTTGATCATAAGCTCCTTGATAGCGTAGATGGGATGGATGTTGTGCATCGTGTCCTCGACGATGCGCCGAACCTGCTTGAGGCCCTTGTAGGGACCCATGGCAGCGACGGTGTTTCCCTGTACCAGCAGATAGGTTTCGGTGAGTAGCTCCAGTGCTTTGAGCGTCGATCCGTTTGGCCCGAGAATACGCTGCCGCCTCTTGACAAAGCGATCCTTGTTTCCAACTAGATTCCGTATCTTGATGATATCCATAGCCACCTCGTCGTCGAGAATCTTGACTGCTTGTGGTGCCGGCACGCTTCGCGCAAGCAGCTTGATCAGGTCGCGCGCATTCAATATCGCCGCCGGGTCATATGTCTTTTGCGTCGTCCATACCGTCATGGAACCCTCAACCAAGTTGAGCTCGCACCCAACACCTTGTTTCTGCAGCGCCTGTGTGATGAACTTCCATGACCCCTTCAGATACTGTTCGCGATACTTTGGGAAAAGCGTGCTGAAACGCGACTCGTCGGTGAAGGCGCCGGCCGTATTGTCCTCCGGCTTAAAGGGCTCAATCTGCGCGAATGTCAGTCGTGAGCTCTCGGAAGCGCGCAGATTCGGCGCAAACGTACCTTCCACTTGTCAATATCATCCGTGTCCCAGGGCTTCTCGGCATTGTGTGTAGACGGCATCGTGGGTGTTTTGGGCGTGGGTCGGGCTTGTGATTGGGTCCAGGTAACTTTTTTCCAGAAAGTTGCAAAGGCCGCGCTAAGGTTCTGCCACCGCCTGGATCTGTATAGGCTAACAGTCACATGACGCCAAGGATGAGAGCAGCCGAGTATATATGGGTCCCATCCCCTATTAGCTTAGCTCGTGGGACTCAATACATACCATTACGCCCCATCCATCACTCTACCCTAACTCCGCAATCTCACGCTTACCGATCGTAACGTCTCACTTGGTCTACGCCCGCCGCTGGTCCGTACATCTTGTGATACCAAGCCACATAGGCAATTCCAAACATACACGGAGTAAAAATCGGCCTTAAGGCACAGTCGCCCAGCTTGTATACTCTGTAAATATGGTTTCGTGTATAATGACCCACGTACACGCATTCTCCAACTCCAACACATCATCCTTAGATTGCAATCGTTGAGACCTTAACCCATTGCATTCCATCCATCTTTTCCCATCCCCTAAGTTTTTGAACCGTCATCCCCAGTACTCAACATGGCCTTGTACACCACCCCAGAATTCACACGCTACGCCGCTGTCCACCAGAATCCCAACGGCGAAGGCGACGCCCGTCCCACGGCCCTTCAAATTATCAATGACAACGGCCTCGAGGGCAAGCTAACCGACAAGACTATCTTAATAACAGGCTGCTCCTCAGGCCTAGGCGTCGAAACTGCTCGAGCTCTTGCTGCCACAGGCGCCCACATCTTCTGCACTGCACGCTCCCTCGAAAAGGGCCAAGCAGCACTCGCCGATATCCTGTCACCAGGAAAAGTCGACCTACTCCACCTAGATCTCGAGAGCCTAGCTTCCGTCCGCACATTCGCTGCCGAGTTCCTCGCAGCCAGCCATGGTAAACTCGACATCTTGATCAACAACGCAGGCGTCATGGCAATACCCCAATCGACAACCGCCGATGGTTTCGAGACGCAATTCGGCGTGAACCACCTCGCCCACTTTCTGCTTTTCCAGCTGCTCAAACCAGCCCTCGTCGCTTCTAGCACGCCTACTTCCGCCTCGCGCGTCGTCGCCGTATCGTCGCTGGGCCACCGCTACTTCGCGCCCACCCTGTCAGATATGCAGCTGCGAGAACCCGGTGCGTATGATCCTAATCGGGCATACGCGCACTCCAAAACAGCAAACATCTGGTTCGCAAACTACATCGATAGACACTATGGCTCCTCCACGACACATCCCATTCATGCTTTGTCCCTCCATCCAGGTGGTATATGGACAGGCCTGCAAGACCACATACCTGGAATGGAAGCCATGAAAGAGATCCCCGCAGTACAGAGGTACATGAAGAGTCCCGCGCAAGGAGCCGCGACGACTGTTTGGGCAGCTGTAGGAGAGTGCTGGGAAGGCAAGGGAGGTGTTTATCTAGACGATTGTCAGGTCTGCCCGCCGGTGCCACAGCCGAGTTATGGATTGGTAGATCGGGGATATGAGAAGTGGGCGTATGATGTCGAGAGCGAGGAGAAATTGTGGGAGATGAGTAATGAGCTGGTCGGATATCAAGAGGCGTAGAGCGTGCATGTGCCGCCATCACTTTCGGACATGGATTCCAGTGGCCATGAGATGTAGGATGTTCATGATTCCGCGTTCACAGAAAGCCATCTATAAGACTCGAGACACAAGTCCATGACCAGATTATGCTATCAACTAAACCCTCGCTATCTTTTTGCCGTCACACTATAGCACCTCGAACTCATAGTACACATACGCCGTGTACTCCTGATCACCCATCTGACCCGCTTGCGCCATGTCAGTCGACAGTGCCTGGTCGTCCTTCTGAATCCGGCCCTTGCTATCGCGGCCAAAGGCGTTGCCACCAAGGTATGAGTACGCGCCATCGAGATTCGACTTTGCCTTTTTCGCTTGCTTCGCATCGGTCTAGGTGCCTCGCGTTAGTACATGTCCAATACAAAAATCCCACACACTGAGCTCGTCAAACACGCGCAAACTCACCTGAACGATTCCCGCGACAAAATCAAGCGGCAAGCCGTATCGCAACACCGTCTCAACAAACACTCTCAGCGCGAGAACATGGATCCAGATCATGGCGCTCTCGCTGTACCCCGTTCTTCCCAGCCGTAACGCCTCGCCCCACAACTTCTTCTCGTCCTTTGCTAATTGCTCCGCCTCCTTGGCTTCTTCCTCCTTGTTGCCCTCCTTGTACTGGTAGTCTCTCGGTGTCCACCGCTTTTCTCTGCACTTGTGTACAAACTCGGTGGAATGCTTCTTAAATGTCGTGACGGCGAACAAGGTGAATTCGGCATCCTTGGCGAGCTCGTTGGCGGAGCGGGGAACCACCATGGGACATAGCTCCTCGTAGTCCTTATAGAAGTCCTTGACGTTGTTGTTGGGTACGGCGATGAGGTGTGTGTCGAGGTACTCGGAGTCGCGGACTATGGCTTTGGGGTTGACGACGTTGACGAGAGACTTGGTCGCGAGGTTTCCGGTGCGTTTGCGCTCGGCGGCTTGGAGGGCGGACTTTGTCTGGTTGTACTGGCTCATCTTGGACTTGACGTCGTTGTCGACGCCTTGTATCTCCTGTGCTTGTTGTCAGCCGTACTGATCCACAGAACAAGAAGGATTAGGTTAGGGTCAACCCTAACGCACCTTCTGCAGAGCGTCTATGAGGTCTGCAATGGGCTTGTCGGCCCGGTACTTGACCTTGTTCCACTGGAAGTTGCGCAAGTACTGATCAACAGGCTCTACATCATGTGAGCTGCCAGACGCCAATCGCATACGGCCCGTGTGCACATACTGTCGTTTATCGTCTTCTGCTGCTGTATCTTGCCCTCGTCGCCGTCGAGTATCTGCCTCAGGCTGTCGCCCACCTTGGCCACGACCGCCTCGCACGCATTGTTGAGCTTGGACAGCTCATCGGCCTGCTGCACCAGGGCATCCAGCGTTCCGATCTTGAAGTTGGGAATCGCGAATGGGGACGTGTTCCCCACGTCATTGGTTACGGTGGAGCGCAGCGCTGTGAGGGCGTCCTCGGCGTGGTTTGAGGGCGAGATGGACGTCGGCAGCGACACCAGCAGGTACTTGCTCCCCTTGGACATGGTTGCGGCGCTCTGTTTTGGGGCGATCGGGACGCGATATAGGCGGTTATGGGAACGATGGCCGTTTTGGTGGATGGAATCCAGTCGGGGGAGCTTGGGCCTAGTCGCGGCCTAGGGTGCTACCCTGCCGTCATTGGTGTCTTATATAGTCCGCCGTGAGTACCCGCCAGCAGCGAAACGACGCAACTTCTTTGGCAATTCCTCCTCACCCACCCAACATGGCCTCGAAGAAAGCTGTCGTTGCCCTGCGTCCGGCCGCCAATGGTCTTGCACCGCTGGTTTGGAGGCCAGAATGCTCGCGCGTCGCGACTTACTCCACAAGATCGCGTGCAACCCCAGCCCCACGTCCCCGCAACCTCACACGCCTATCGCAGCAACACGTCCGATATGCTTCGTCGGGGGCTGCAAGCGAGCAGCCGGCAAAGACGGGCTTGTACGAGCTTCACAGCAAGTATGGTGCCAAGTTTGTGCCATTTGGCGGATATGCCATGCCAGTCCAGTACAGCGACATGAGCATCATCGACTCGCACAACTGGACACGCGAAAAGGCCAGCTTGTTTGACGTTGGACATATGTAGGTAACAGCGACTTCATACTTGCTCTGCGTACTCACCATCATTCCCACAATCTTCCAATCATGTTCCTGCGCTAATCCATCCAGGGTCCAGCACCACTTTTCCGGGCCAGGCGCCGAGGCCTTCCTCGAGAGCATAACACCCTCGTCGCTATCTTCGTTACCTGAACGCCAGTCCACCCTGTCTACGCTGCTACACTCCACAGGCGGAATTGTTGACGATACAGTCATAACCCGTCTGCCCGATCGCTTCTATGTCGTCACAAATGCCGGCTGCAGGGAAAAGGACACTGCCTACTTCAAGACACAATTAGAAGCCTGGAAGAACGCACACTCCGACCAGTCTGTAGAGTGGAACATACTCGATGGACAGGGTCTTGTCGCCCTCCAGGGCCCGTTATCCGCTGAGATACTCTCTCGCGTTCTAGACGACAAGTCCAAGCAGGATCTTCAATCGCTGTACTTTGGCCAATGCGCAAACGCTGTCATCAAAGGCACAGATGCTCAGGTGCTCGTCAGCCGGGGCGGATACACTGGTGAAGATGGTTTCGAGATTAGCATCCCCGCCTACGCCACCGAAGCCGTAACCCAGTTTTTGCTCGACTCTGCCAAAGATGAGCTGCGTTTTGCAGGTTTGGGTGCGCGTGACACGCTGAGACTAGAGGCGGGCATGTGCTTGTACGGCCACGATCTTGATGACACGACCACGCCAGTCGAGGCCGGACTATCCTGGATCATCGGCAAGGACCGCCGTGCAAAGGGCGGATTTCACGGCGACTCTGTTATCCTGCAGCAGCTCAAGAAGAAGTCTGAAGGCGGTGGTGTATCACGGCGTCGCGTTGGTCTTGTCGTAGAGGGATCGCCTGCCAGAGAGGGTGCCGAGATTATCGACGAGGCTGGGGAAAAGATTGGCACCATCACATCTGGCTGTCCTTCGCCTACGATGAAGAAGAACATTTCCATGGGTTATGTCAAAGATGGTATGCACAAAGCAGGGACCGAAGTACAGGTTGTCGTGAGGGGGAGGAAAAGGAAGGCTGTCGTGACCAAGATGCCTTTTGTTCCTAGCAAATACTTCAAACAGCCGGCAAACATCAAGGCATAGACCTGGTGTTTAAGCATTCAAGGATGAAGAATTCAACATGTAGTGTTCTTTTTGCCTCTTTCGTCTCCACGTACCTGCGATGTTCTGGACTATCCGTGCCCGAGCTTCTGCCGGGTTACAACCAGACGCGTAAATCACGTCGCAAACTGGATCGCTGCTTCATCGGCCTTTTCATCAGTGTCGAACACGCATTACATCAGTCACGGTGATGGTTCGGGTGATACAGGACGCGACGCGGCGACATGCCGACCGGCGCCGTACTGATGCCGCAAAGACTGGGTCACGGCATCTCCGGCATCTACAGTATCAACGCTAGCAACGAGGCATCGACGTCCATGTTCAACATCAGTCCACTGTTTTGCTACACGGTCCGGTCGCTGCAGTTGCTTCATTTGTTTCTGTGGCTCTTGGTCGTTTTCGATAGCGGCAAAATCACACCATGTTCAGGGAAGTACGTCAATTAACCGGCAGCAGGGAAGATGCTCCTGGCGCTGGGACTGACAAACAATGGAACATCGAGAAGGGTCGCCAGGTGCAGGGTGAATGCTGTGTGACGAGAGGGAGAGGGGTCTGTACATGACGGTATTGGTATATAAGAAGTCGTCAAGGCCCTCTGGTTTAAACATCAATCATCGCATATTTGACTTTTAACTATTCTACAATACACAACACGCTTCGATACGAAACAGCTTCCATCATGCCTCTCACCAAGTACAAGGCTGCCTGTGTTAGTCCCCATCATTGTCCCTCTTGCCAAATTCTAGCTGACTGAGTAACAGGTCACCTCCGAGCCATGTTGGTTCGACCTTGAAGCCGGCGTCCAAAAGACCATCAACTTCATCAACGAAGCCGGCGCTGCAGGTTGCAAGCTCATTGCCTTCCCTGAAGTCTGGATCCCAGGCTACCCTTACTGGATGTGGAAGGTCAACTACCAGCAGTCGCTCCCCATGCTCAAGTCGTACCGCGAGAACTCGCTGCCCATGGATTCAGAAGAGTTTCGACGGATCCGCCGTGCGGCGAGGGATAACCAGATGTAGGATCTTTAGTACCTACGAGCACCACGAAAGGCATGTATCTGATGTTGAGTGTAGCTACGTCTCGCTCGGTTTCTCCGAAATCGACCACGCGACGTTGTACCTGGCGCAGGCCTTGATCGACCCCACTGGCGAAGTCATCAACCACCGCCGCAAAATCAAGCCCACACACGTTGAGAAACTCGTCTACGGCGATGGCGCAGGCGACACATTCAAGTCCGTCACACAGACCGAACTCGGCCGTCTCGGCCAGCTCAACTGCTGGGAAAACATGAACCCGTTCCTCAAATCGCTCAACGTATCAGAGGGCGAGCAGATCCACATCGCCGCCTGGCCTGTATATCCTGGCAAGGAGACGCTCAAGTATCCTGATCCCGCTACCAATGTTGCAGACCCGGCTTCTGACCTGGTCACGCCGGCTTATGCGATCGAGACGGGCACGTGGACGCTGGCTCCGTTCCAGAGACTGAGTGTGGAGGGCTTGAAGAAGACGACGCCTGAAGGTGTGGAGCCCGAGACTGATCCCTCGACGTACAATGGCCATGCCCGTATCTACAAGCCAGATGGTACCCTCGTCTGCAAGCCAGACAAGGACTTTGATGGTCTGCTTTTCGTTGACGTAAGTCGTCGAAACCCACTCTAATCTTCCTTGTTGTTGGACTAACATGTGGTGCAGATCGACCTCAACGAATGCCACTTGACCAAGGCGTTGGCTGACTTTTCGGGTCATTACATGCGTCCTGATCTCATTCGTCTACTTGTTGACACCCGTCGCAAGGAGCTGGTTACTGAAGCCGACACTAATGGAGGTATCGCTTCCTACACCACTCGTGAGCGTCTGGGCTTGAACGTCCCACTCGATGCACAGGCGCCTAAGCCCAAGGCCAAGGTTGCTGACGCAACTGCCACTACTGCAATCTAGGCTTTTCCAGGATGTGGTCAGAGAACGTCCTCGTGCAGATTCTGCAAGAGAAATGTAGGCCTCAGCTCGGAAGTAAATGAATATATCTCCCCACTCATACAATTGATCCGCTGTACTCGCTGTTCAAGCGTTGATAAGTTCCACATTGTCTCCTAGCGCTCGGCCGTAGAATTATTGAATGTCCTATAGCTGTGGCGGTCTAAGTCTTCGAAGATCACGATTTAGTGAGGGGCTGCTCTAAACGTTCTAAGACGACTACCCGCAGCCAGCTGAAGAAGCGCAGGAGACCGGTCGTGCAGATTCGCGCGAGCGGGGTCGGCTTTCGACAGCTGCGTTTGCGGAATGTCCCCACCAACTATCCAGCTGGCATCTCGCTTGCTGTCCCTCCATCTGGCGAGAATACGGCCCGCCCGGCTATTCCGTTTCCCATCCGCTAGAACCTTGACGATCAAATGCGTCTCGATCTCAATCCGGCTCAAAGACTCCCAGTTTCCAGCACACAAAAAACCGGAATTGTGATAATGCACATGGATCAATCGGATGTCCCGCCAGTAACATGAGAGCGTGTCAGTCCTTCAGCCGTACTACTTACTGTGGAACCGAAAGGACGCGAAAAAGCAACACTCACGCCGGCCTAGTACTAATGAAGACCAGGCTGAACAAGCCGATCATACAACAAAAGGCTCCCTATAACTAGAGACACCTAGCCGCCTGAGCATGATAATGCATCTATAGTGAAGATTCATCTCCTTCACACTGTCCCAGATCACGTTTGTCGATATGTCAGCAAAGATATCATCGCCCGTCGACGGCGAACTGGACTTCATTGTCAGAGCACCAACGCCAAAATCATTGTCCATCGAGGATGATTTGGACGTCGCATGGGCCAAAGCCGTGAAGAGGTTCAAAGATGCTTCCAAGGCAAACTACCCCGACAAAAAGATGTCGATTGGGGATGTGCTCGCCAGCATGAACACGCAAGACGCGAAGGAAGCAACCAAGACGAGGGCAAAGGCCATAGTCTCGAATATTCTGAATTGTATTCAGCTTTTTGGAGAAGTTGTCGCAAGCGCCTCGAGTGCCGTCTTCTCTCCAAGCCAACAATGCTTCAACGCCCTCAACTTCGTCATTGTGGCCGTACAGAAATACCAGAAGATGTTCGAAGACCTCACCACCCTTTTAGAGCGTGTATCGGTGTTCATCGGAACTCTTCGCATCTATCTCGAAGAAAAGAACGCTGTCAAGTTAGATCTACGACTGCGGCCAGTCGTTTATCGAGTACTTGAACACTTCATGGCGATAATGACGCTAGCGATCAAACTCACGGACCGCAAAGGACAATGGAAGGCGGGCGCGAAAACCTTTTTTCTTGGCGGAGATGGAAGTGTCACAGACGCTCTGGCTACGCTGGAGACCCTCGTATCGGAGTTCGTGCAGGTGCAGGTTGCTGTGATTGGTCAAGATCTTTCAGAGGCTGCTCGCGGCATCCGAACCCTGGATGGCAAGATGGACGTCCTGGATGACAAGATAGAATTAATTGCAAGCAACATGGAATGGCGAGATGAACGAGATTGGATCCAAGACGTTCAAAACCAACTTCGAATACGGCTACGAATTGATGAAGGCGAGCCTTAGCGAGACCATCACGACAAGATCAGCTTGCAGCGTACCAAGGATACCGGCAATTGGCTCTGTAAGGAATATGACAAATTTGCTCAGTGGCGCGACACGGAGACTGATGGAAACAATGTAATGATCGTCACGAGTGGCCCGGGCCGTGGCAAGTCATTCCTGGCGTCGGCTGTTATTGATCATATCAAGGATTCGAAACTCGACTCTGAAGGCCTCACCCTACTTGCTTATAGCTATCTCCAGGCTTCCGTCCGCGAAGAAGTCAAAGCATCATCTCACAAAGATTCCAAACAAAGGAGTCGTGGCATGGCAGAATTGACTGGACAAGCAGCGATTAGTGCTTTGAAAAGCATCGTCTGGCAATTTTGCAAACTCGATAGAGATTACCAGGACTTTGTGTTTCGGATTTGTGAGGGCGACGAAGGCAAGATGGATGCCATTCGGATCTGGAATGATTTTGTTGTCGCTTATAGTCCACAGGGCAAATCAACATTCTTCATTGTTCTCGACGGCATGCAGGAGGAAGATAAGAACCTGCTCGTGTCCATGATGCAGTGTGCTCATGAACAAAAGAGTCAACTGCGCATTCGGGTCTTTGTCACTGCCGGAACTCAGAAAGTTCCGAGGAATGCAGTCGTCAACACATTCCCGCAGATTTCTCTCGATCCTGTTCCCAATCTCAAAGAACTGGTGTCCAATATTGATGATGTCAAAAAGATCGTCAAGTTCAAGCTTGCAGACACCTCGATATTCAGTCAGAAGAACGCGTGGAATCAGGGAGTACAGCAACGAGTACTCGACACTCTGAGTCGTCAGGTCCAGAATGACTTCCCACGCTTAAGCCTGGTAATCAACGAAATTGGGCAGTGCGTCAACTCTAGACAGATTGACAGAATACTTGAAAGACTCGACGAACCTATCGAAGTGAACCTAGGCCGGCAGATTCGCTCTTTGAATTCCAAGTTGGCGTTAGATGAGATAAAGGAAGTAAACGCTCTTATCTCTTGGTTGGAAAGTTACAAGACACAGTTTCGTAACTATGAAACTGATACACCATATTTGCTTGCTGAACAATACGTCGATGTTAAGCTGGGGATACCACGGCTTATACCTCTTTCTGAAAGTATAGCGCAACGGTACTACTTGCTGTTTGAAGTAGATGCTCGTGATCACATCAAGTGGCGCTATGAAGAGATCCAGCAGTATCTGAGAAAAGATTTCGAGGATCAGCAAACTCTAAAAGAGATACATAAGAGGCAAGGAAAACAATCTTCCACAACAGACCTGGAAGAGCTAGATCTCTTGGAGCTGGTCATACGAAACAATCTCAACACGGTGTTTGGTACGCGAGGCGCTGAGCTATTTGATCGATACGAGCTTGGGGAATACTTCATGTCGCAAAGAGTTCAACATACAGAGATGATCTGTGCTGACGAGAAGAGCAATCGATACTCGGTCTTGTTTGTATGTCTGCAGGTTCTATGCGAGGATGTAGGCAAACGACCAGTGCATGAACTCCGTTATCACGCTCGAAGAATGCTACATAAGTATCTGCAATGGGATACAAAACATAAACTGACGCCAGAGGAGAATCAATCAATTGGCCGATTCCTAGTAAAGCTACTCCGTAACGACACCGTCATAGATCGCTGGAGTCAAGACTCTAACTTGGGCATCGTAGCTTGCTTTCCATCTGACACAAAGAAAGAAGACGTGATCTGGGAATGGTTCAGAAAGATTAGGACATCTGGAGGCCTAGCTGGTCTGGAGGACCAAGAATGGTTTTCAAAGATCTCGAAGGAAAGGAATGCGTGCAAGCCAAGTCACTGGGACTACGCGATCGACAGGATTGTTGATGGCTGGTATACGCAGAAGCGCGATACGTGGAATACCATAACTGGTTTTCCTCGTGAAGAGGGACCTGTAAGTTATCATCCGGGTGCAAATTAACAAGTGTATTGACACCACTACAGAGGGAAGTCCACGAATGGTTACAGGCTAGAGGTCATAAGCTCGACCCAGTTCTGCTGATCAAACGTTTGGTGCAGGAGGCTGATGATGAGTATTATTACGGAGACCACAAGAGATGGATTTTGGAAAAATGTAACGGCATCATCGAGGAAGCAGAACAGGATCAAAGACCCAACGACACTATCGCATACAAGAGAAAGGTGGATATTTGGTGGGCTTATTTCTACAGCGCGAAGGTTCTAACGGAAGACGGTTCAAGCGCAGAGGTCTCTACTCAGGACAATCAAAAACCCGGCCCAACCAGCGGTCTCAAAGAAGCAATCAGGCGCCTCAAGACCGCAACATCCACAACGACCAAAGACAAAGATTTCCTTGAGTGTTACTGGACTAAAATGCTGCCATTGCTTGCCCGCTGCCAGCTTCTAGATCTTGACTTGGAGGGAGCTATGAATTCGTACTTGGAGATGATGAACGACGCAAGAAGCAGAGAGGCACTCAAGATGAGTATGCTTAGTCCATTCACGCCTGACCTGGTTGCCAAATTTTTGGAATCGGCCAGCGAAAAAAAGGTGCCTAATGCAGAGCATCACTGGCTTCATGAGTTGATTGCAAGTGTCGATTCCTCTGAGGCCGTTATCTCGATCAGTCTTGCGGCGTATCACGTCAAAGACTGGAGAAGCATTCGCGACACGATCGAAGCTGTGCTTCAGCAACTGAACACGGAGATTGATAACGTCAATGATGACTCGGCTGCCGAAAGAGATACCCCTACGCAAGACGATAGAAACTCCGACATTCGGCAGAAATGTAACACTCAGAGGTTGGTGAAGACAGTTTTAGCTTACATTCTTTGGCACAGAAGCGACAAAGCTGAAGAGCGCAGTATGGCGCTGGATCTTTGGACAGAGCTTGAGATGATAGACGTCTTACTCACAGTGCTTATAAAACGCTCTGAAGCCAGAAATTGGGTGGAACTCCATATTTCAGAAGATAATTATGAGAGACGGTTAACGGAAGCGATCTCCAAAGTCTGCGGTGCCTACCGGAACGTCCAGTCACCTGCATCCATCAGGTCGCACTTCATAGCTGCGCGATTATGCATGAAACTCGGATCTCGAAAACGGGCAGAGGATCTCATCTCAAAGATACTGGAGAACAAAATCTACCGCGGGGGCACAGGTTCAGACAAACAACTAGAGGAGTACGGCAAAGCCTGTTTCATCCTTGGCGATGACCAATGCGGCCACGACATATTCGGACATATGACCAAACATGACTTTGCCAAACATAAAGGATGCCATCAAATATGCGGATCGGAACCTCCAGATGCAGAAGCCGAGACGTATCTCTGCAGAGATTGCATGCGCCTTCTGAAGCCACATTGCTCCAATGCACTCAAAAGAAGTGTCTGGTTAGCAGGTTTCTGCGATCCAGATCATGATCGCATCACCCTTCAGCCTCCAATGGCCAAAGATGGCAGGAATGGTAGTGCTGCCATTGATTTGGTGCGAGGAGTCGGCAGCAAGCACGGCTGGCTGGACGCCGACAGGGACGACGAATGGGATTAGCGAAAGAATGATGCGTCGGAGATAGCCAAGTCAAGGGCATCGTTCCATAGTATTGATAAGGTGACCATCGGGACTCAAGAGCGAACAGTGCTGCTGAGTAGGCATCCTAGAAGAGCTTTTATAGCGCTTGTTTGCAACGCGCACGAAAGTCTTAACATATCGTAGATACAATTCATTGCTGTGGCGAGAACATCCCTTGTGCATTGCCCTCTATATATATCTGCATTGCGGATAAGGGTGCAAGGTAGTGTTGTGCGAACATAGCAGAGAGCCTGCTTTAAATGCGCAACTCTTTCAGAAATTAGCTGCTCAGGAGAGTTACCGAGATTGTCAATAGAGGTGTTGTTCTCGACGATTGTGGGTAATGACGGCACGTGCTTCTTTGGCGATGGATCTCTATCCCAGCTTTGCCTCTTTCACATGGACGAAAACCGGACTTGCTTGTATGGACGAACACCGGACTTGCTTACGTGGACGAAGCTCGGTACTGGTGTCGCTGAGGAACCTGCACAGCATGCTCGTCAGCCTTGACTATGTAATCAGTCAAAGACACAAAGAATAAGAGACAGCAAGAGTCATTGCAAGACTTTCCTCGGTCTCTTCATATCATCTAATCCCTAGTAGAAAACAGTGCAGTTTCTTCAAGTTAGAATGTGCTAAAGCTGCGTAGAATATCTAAGAACTCTAGTATAGCTAGTAACGCTGATACGTAAGATATGCATAGAACTACGGGATAGATTCCGTACCTCTTAGTAAGCTTTTTATTCTTATACACTAAGTGTTGTTGTAGTGGAGTATTCACGTTCTCCTCTCCACCACGCCACTAGTGGCCTTACTGGCTCGGATGTCTTTGGTTCCGCATCCTGCTATAAAATACTCCAAGAAAGAACATAGATTTCAAGACAAAATCTCAACAACCTCAGCAAACTCTCGACTCGTTTCATCAGGCGCATCAGCACAATGACCACGGTACCTGTCATCGGCGCCTCTGGCAAGGTAGGCGCGCAAGTTGTTCAGGAGCTTGATGCCAATCACGAAGGCATCCACGTACGTTTAGCGACTAGCCGCGCCGAGACCGCTGAACAGTGGCGCCAACAAGGACGACAAGCCGTCATTCTCAATCTCGACGACCCGAACACATTACCATCAGCATTGCAAGGTATCGACAGGCTCTTTATGGTTACTGGCTACACGGTAGACATGCTGTACCAAAGCAAGATGCTTATCGATGCGGCCGCAGCTGCTGGCGTTATAATAGTATAGCACTATAGTATACGCTAGATACTATCTACTTAGCTACTAGTAGTTAGCGGCGATAGAAACATAATAGAAGGAAGGCGGCAATAGTAGTAATACAGCGCGGTAGTGCTATACAGCGCATGTAAGGACATACGCCTCTTGTATCTATTGTATTACTAGATAATTGTATAAAGCGAGTACAAAGGCTTCTTCTTATAAGAACGCTTACAAACTACTAGACCCTTCTAAGTCTAGTAGCTTACTAGCGCTCTCTCTTGTTACTACTTAATAGAGCGCTTTCTCTTCTCTTTTCTATCTTTTGTCTGCTATTCTCTCTACTCTAAATACAAGCTATCTTCTAACTAGCTGCTCCTTTGTGCGTAAAGTCTGCCTTACAGCGCAGTTGTAATAGGCTAGAGCCTAATTAGCAAATTCTTAATAATATCTTAGTTATATGCGTAAGCGTACAGCTTGCGACTAAACGCGTTTAAATAATGCACAGGCTAAATCTCTAACTTTAGCTAAAGATTAATCTAGGTTGCTACTAATTACCTTTTAGCGTCTTAGTAGTCTATAGTTGTCTTTTCTATTAAAAACAATCTTAGTATACCTACCTGTGCGATAGCTCCTTGAGCGTCGCCCTTTACACCTATAATTACCTGTTCTAACCTACGCTCAACCTGCACTCGTGCCTCCTCTTCTCCTCTACAGTAAAGTACTAGGTCTACTTAGGTGATTCTTTGTTTATTTCAAGAAGCAAAACTATAGCTCTGATATATACTATCCAGCCTCTGGTCAGGATCTACACCACGTTGGGTCCATCATGTCTTTGAACAGTTCCCAGAGCTCACTGTCTGCCCCCTTCATCCCTGTGTTCCATACCTCGTCGTTGTCCAACTGATGAATCCAACCCCGCTCTAGCTCCCGTCTCTTCTTACCCCCTTCTTCATTCCAATCGTTGAAGATCCTCCTGAACTTCTTTCTTCTTGCTTCCACCTCTTTCATTAGATTGTTCTTGCGTTCTTCGAAACTGTGTTGTAATGCGCGAGGTAGAATCTTAGGTTGCGCTATGAACATGTCAACCCTATGTGTCTCTGCAGCATGCTGCGTCCACTGTCCAGCTTGTTCGAAATAAACATCGCATCCAAACATAGGGCAATGAAATGGCTCAGGATTCTCCTTGCCGAAATAATGTCGATCTAAAGCTTCGATTGCAACAGCCCCAAGGCCTGTTAGTTGCAACTGGATCCTCTCTTGTTTATGCAAGAGTCCCTTGAATTCACCAACTGGCCCATAAAATCTTTTAGGAGGCATAAGAACGGTCTTGCGTTCGAAATTAGGTGTGATGACTTTTCTCCATTCACCGTTATCTGCGAGACGGTAGAGTACTCTGTGCCAATTCTTTGCAACAGGAGGCGCAGTCCGCTTTTCGCCACCAGAGCTTACCTCCACTAGTACGAAAGGCGAAATCTCGAGGTCAATTGGGCATGTCTCGACAAGTACCTTGAGAGAACAGGCAATAGGCTCATCGTTTTGATATCGAATGGTCAGTGATTCCCAATTCTTGTTGACAACAACCTTTTTTCCGAGAGGAAAACTTATCCGAAAGGTCCTCCAAAACTCTCGGGCCTTGTCGTAATCAAGCTCTACTACATCGTCTTGAATAGGAGCTATCTTGTCATCAGAGCGCAAGTCGTACTCGATCTCCACATTTTGCACGTGAGCCATGAAGGATAGGTCGTAGCATGTATAGCCCGAGTGCCCACCCCCAAAGAGCCAGTGGGCTTCGACGAGATAGTATGTATCCGGTTCTGACCAGAACTGTTTTGCAGCTTCGATGCGAAGCATAGGTGTGTGCATTAACTGATAGAGCGTAGGCGCAGAACAGAAGTCCAGGACGCGCAGTTGAAGCTCTGTGGAAAGCTGGCTGAAGCGTGACAACAAGGCGTCTTGCGATGAAGTACAGGGTGGAGGGTTTTTATATGTGACGTATAAGTAGAATGGGATGCGTTCTTCGCCGTCGATTGTTATGTGGAGGTCCCAGTTTAGTGGCTTCGTCCATGGAGGCTTCGATAGCGTGGCGAGTAGGTTGCAAACGCCTTGCACCCACATTTTAGGCTGGTGATTGAGAAGCCTAGTAGACGCTCAAACTAAGGTCTTGCATTTGTCTTGTACGGTGCTCGTGTTTGGGGTGAAAGTATCACGGCCATCGTTGCAGATTTGTCAACAAGTCAATCTGGCTTGGTTCTTATCGATTGCACATCACCGACTACTGCCTGGGACGTGTCATAATGCACGGACCGTTTTGCTGTCTGTGATGTGCAGCCGATAAGAACTAAGCTAGATTGACTTACTTGTTGGCAAGTCTACATCGTTGACCGCGCGCCAATAATGATAGCGCAACGGGCAGCCTTGCGCATTAACAGTGGCACAGCAACACGAGGCTGCAGTGCCCGCCTCTTTGATAAATCCAATCCGCCATGTGCCTGAAAACCTGTGGCCCTAGTCCGGATAAGCCCTAGATACGAATTTGTTTGCACAATCGATCACCGTTCAGTAACTAATAATGCGCAGCCTGCAGTCGCTACCCCGCCGCTAAGCGCCATCACCGTTGCACTACCTATTCATCCCCGAGGCTCCCTCGCCAGAGTCGCCTCGTCGTCTCCTCACACGTCACAGTCTTACTTAGAGAAATGCTTCTTCTAACGTGCAGTGCCACAGGGGCACCTTTATGGATACTAAAGCACAACATAGCAAGCTTGGAAACGAAAAACGGTTATTCTTAGGTTAGCGTTGGGATAGAACCTAGTCTGCAGTTATATTGATGTGAGGCACAGCAATAAAGACCAGATGGAGAGGTGCCTGTTCGTACTGTAGGAAACCGTGTTGGAATCTTTGCGATAAATATTTATGTGTTTTGTAGTTGGAATCCATTCCGTGCTCCTATCTATAGAACAGTATATCTTTCTAGGAGATTGTCCGACCGCGTAAGGCAACGGCCGTTACGTTCGAGACTAAGCCTAGGCTTGCAAGCCTTACTGTAGAATGTGTAAAGTTTATGACATCATACGGATCGGAAAACACTATGACTTCCGATCCGTGCGGAACACGCCTGCTGAGAACAGCCAAGCTCTTTTGGCTCGCTTGATTGGACAAGAACATTCTCTAGCCTTGACGGATTGCCTGACCGACGCCCGAATAAGCACTTGTTTCGAGTTCTGCGGTGTTCAGCCATAGTAAAGTATTCTACGGCCGTAGCGCAGATTGGGTCCAATGTGGTTCGCGCCTATCTTTCGCACTGTAGTGCTGGCATAGGATCTGGGGGATACAGGGTCACCGTCGCCACAGTCTTGGCTAACACAATGCTCATTGGATCTTAGCAAGCGTGGAAATGGGTTGAACATCGCAGGCCTCGATACCTGGGGGCTTAGCAAGCACGCTGCATACCATCGGGGCGAGACGGGCATTGCGTAGCGGTCTTGGCACCACTGTTGTATACCACTTCGCCATGTTCAGTGACGGAATCTGGGTTGACTTTGGTAAGCTGAGTCACCTCGCCAAAAGGGTCTCTTAGCTATGCAGTTACTTGCGCAACGCTAGGAAAAACTATGCTGCTCTAGGAGGAAACCGCGACTTCGGGACCCAGCCAAGCACGCAACAACGAGATCGCAAGGTACAGCCCAAGCGTCGACATTGGCAAAACGAGTATCTATGATCGCGACTGAGGTTTTGTTCAGCCATGTACTTGATCGGGTCTGCCTGGTCGCAGCAGGAGCATAGTATATAAGCTCAACGCATACTCTGTTGTAGCAGCTACCAAACCATTATCGTCTTCCGCTACTAGTTTCATACATTCCTCGCATCGAAAGAGTGTCTACCTTGTTCATTGTCTTCGATCTCAACATGAAACAGTATCTGCTATCAACAACGGCACTCGCGTGCGTGAGTCTTGCCGCAGCCACGGAGTATTATCCTCCTGCAGGCATCCCACTCCTACCACTCCCCGACCTTTCCATCGCCCCCAAGTTCGATCCTGAGCCACTGAAGGCTGCACTGGACCGACTGAACAGTGAGGCGATTCTCTTCAACACGTCTTCCACCTCTTACTCGGTCTCGATAACCACGACTGAAGATACAGTTTTTGAGTACCATTGGACTGCACCAAACGTAAACACCACAGTTGGCGTCAGCGAGATCAATGGCGACACAGTCTACCGCATCTTCTCGGTGACGAAACTGTTTACCGTCCTTTCTGCATTGCTCCAGGAGGGATTGGACATAGACGGTCTTGTTTCTAAGCATGTACCGCAGCTTGAAGGCTCGAAAAACTTCGAGAACACGACTTTGCGAATGCTAGCCAGCCATCTGTCTGGCGCTCCGCGCGACGGTAAGGCTATGGCTGGAGGACAATGAACCAAGAAGACCACAGCTGACTCTTCGCACCTAGGCTACGCCTTCGACACCTCTCTTCGGGGACCTCCTGATTTCCTACAGGGCGAACTCGGCTTGCCGGAAAACACTACTGTCCCTGAGGGCTTCCCTATTTGCAATTCTATAGAATTTGGCCTATGCGCTACTCGAGAGGGTAAGAATTCCCCGAGAGCGTGCTACTGTCTACGCTCCTTACTGAACCTCATCGCAGAATTTTTCGAAGGAGCGCTCATAAGCAACTATGTATGGCCCGTCGGTCGTACTCCCGCATACTCAAACTATGCCTTTGTCATTCTTGGCTACGCCATCGAGTCTTTCACAGGCAAATCGCTTCGAGACGTTATCGAAGACAGCATCACGGGCCCTCTTGGCTTGAGCTCAGCGACTGGCCTGGACAGTCAGGATGCATCGCTGATGGTCATACCTGGAGAGGTCGATCACTTCGGTACTCAGGACATCGGGGAATGGAACGGGTGAGTCAGCTCAGACCCTAGCAGTCTACTCATACTCTATTACTCTCTACTTCTGATTAGAACCGAGCATCCGTACTAATTCGCCTATGCCAATAGGACTGCCGGCATGTTCTCAACGCCCAAGGACCTCGCCCGCTTTGTTCGTGGCCTCCTCAACAACGAGTTACTCTCGAGCACCGACATGGCCAAATGGTTGAAGCCCGCCTCCTTCACCTCTTCTTCCAAAGGCGAAGCTGTCGGCATGCCCTGGACCGTCTTGCGTCCCACAAGCCTTGGCCTTGACTCAGGCGAGAGACCCATCGATATATACACCATGCCCGGCGGACAGGGATACTACAACGCCTACGCAGCCATCATCCCGGAGTACCAGCTCGGCTACACCGTCAACGTGGCTGGTGTTGGCGACGATCCGGCGCTGCGAGCCCTGCTCGACCATCTTGTGCGCTACTCTGTCCCGCATTTTGATACCGTGGGCCGGAAGCAGGTCAGGGAAAACTATGCGGGTCGCTATGGTAGTAGTGAATCGGCAATCGAACTGGTGGTCGATGATGGTCCCGGTCTCAAGGTGAAGAGCTGGACTACTGGCGGCAAAGCTGTGTCGGATGCGTGGGTCGAGTTCTTTGGTTCTGCTGCGCTGAACGCGGTTGATGCAGACGTCAGAATCTATCCCATCGGGGCGGATAACCGTTGGCGCGTGGCATTCCGGGGCATTTCCGATATGAATAGTACCGGTATCTTTGAGGATGCTTGTTATACTTGGTTCAGTCATGGGGCGTGGCTATATGCTGGTCTGCCGGTGGATGAGATGGTGATTAGTCTTGGTGAGAACGGAACAGCTACTATGGTCAGTGTGCCTGGTCTTCGGCAGAATCTGGCTAGGTCTTGAATAGGGATGATGTTGTCGAAGGGCAACTTGATCAATATGGAGGCACGCTGGCGAACGGCAGCCAGACTCATCTACTGACAGCAATCATTGGATACTATCGCACTACCAAGTGCAAATCTCAAATCGGTCAGTGCGTTATTGAGGGCATCGCAATTTGAAAAGGGACAGTTAGCATTCGTACCAAATACAGGGTTGCCCTTTATGCTCATTCCAGCATTCGAGTATATAGTATGTTGCTTTTGGAAATTAGTAGATTGCTTCTGTCTGTGATGGTCTCGACGAAACTACGTGAGTTCCTAGCTCGCGATAACTCTAGCAAGAAGTCCTGCCTCCAGAGACACTGCAGGCAGCACCACCTGCACATTTCTGCAAACTATCAGCGCACCGCTCACAAACATGCTGTAAGACGCAACTTACGTTCTTGCAGGCGTACCACGTCTTTCCATCGGCGCAACATCCCGTGGCAGATGGGCAGTATCCCCACTGGTTGTTGGGATCACTGCCTTCAGCCAACTGGGCATGGTTCGTGGTAAAGTGTTCATCATGATCGAAGCATTGCTGAAATTCCAAGTATCAGTCTCTAGGAATGTCCTTTGGAAAGAAGGATACTCACCCAGGCGGAGACGGTGGCGACCAAGAGGAGTACGATTGCTTGGATCTGCATGATGATGGTGTTGGAGAATTGGATGATGTTTGTTAGGTAGAATTTAAAGTTGTGGACGAAGGTAATGGAAGAGATAGGCGTCGGATGGAGCCCTTCTTATCAAAAATCCAACGATCGCATATTAACCATATCCTGTCTTCACTTGTTGACTTCAGCCTTAATACATATGAATAGGTTAATATGTGTAGATCAGCCCCAGGTCCTTCTCGGGCCTATCGACACAAGCGTTGGGTCGTGCACCCGATTTGAACCACTATAGGATGTGTGAGTCCAGCGAAGAAACAAAACAAGCTCACAAGTTCTCCACATTTGGCAGCACAAGCTTTTCCGCTTGTTTGTGTCTAGTCGTACACTGTTTGGATGTGTATTGCTCATGCATTTCGGGTAGATTCTCCAACGCATTGAGCACGCCTCTGGCTCACCGTCATTTGGAATCCTCTGGACCTCTCTCCGTCCGTCTGGGATAAATTCTCGGAGCTTCAACCAATAGTATTCAAACAACAATTTAACAAAGCGAGTCAACCTATACCGTTCTCAGTGGTCCACGGCTTAATGCGCGGTCCAGCTCAATGCGGACGCTTCGGCGTAATTAGTGCGCGGTCCGGTGTAATGCACAGAGCACTAATTTCGCCATGTCTATCCTGTACCCCCTGTAGTATCTCAGGTGTGACTTTAGTCGCATCGCTTTTTGACAAGTTCACAGGGGTTATACATGTTGAACGGTTTGCGTTTATATCGTGACAGGCGTTGGATGCGACACCTCCTACCTGGGCGCCGAGACAGCGCATAGGATAAGCTTTCATTTCGGCTGGGCATTTGCATTCACTTCTGTATACAACGGCTAGCGATGAACGGGTAAGACAATACCACGAAGACAGGAGCACGTGAAGGTTGGTGTCATTGTCGTGATGATAGGGTAACCGTAGGCGAGATGTCAGCCGGCACTACAGTAGCGTGTCAGCTAACGCCCCAGGTCACTCAACGCCCCACCCACAACACAACAGCTTCATGAGTATTGCAGCTGTAACGCCACAACAAATCGTAATAAAGTTGCGCAAAAGTAGATTTATA